CTTCAGATGATTGTTTCAAGATCTGAGTTCAAATGGAAATAAAAGCAAGATCAAGATGAAACAGGGATTATTGCTGTTAAAGTAGTTTGGCCATGATACAACAAGCACATAAATCATTAGCCAAATCAAATACTGGTTGGTTTGTCAAGATGTTTGTTGTCTGTCGTCTGTCGAGCTGCTATGAACACTGAACGCTCTCACTCTTACTTTAAAGAGAGTAGTTTAAGTTGAATGGTAGTGAGCTGTAGACAAAGCAGCTATTCAGTGCTCACATCAAGCCAGGCTAGGAAATGGCATCAACTGTGGTGGGAGGAAGCAGGTTCGGCAGCCCTATGTTGTAAACTTCTGTTGTGTCTTGTGTTTGATCAACTGATGTTTTCTGCTCTGTTTTGTGCAGTGATAGTAGCAGGTAACTGCATGCTTGTCAAATTATGTGAATAAACGAATTCATAACATTGCATTTTTCTCTCCATGCAAGGAACAAGTAAGATGTTGTAGAAAATGTAATATGAGAGGGCTGCATTGCTGATTTTGCACTTTATCAGAGCTTTATTTAGAATTGCTTTCCTGAAAGCTACACACAGGCCACAGCACTGAAATTCACAATGTCATAGCTTTTGGCAGAAAAAAAAGAAAACACCTAGGTAAAATTGGCTGAAAGTATGGCAGAGCAGGTCTTGATGCGCATGCCCATCCGTGTGCTTGCCGAAGCCGAACTGACTGCAACACATTAACTCTGACCCACCATGGTGGCTGGCATATCCTGAACTTTCACCACTCTAAACAAGACAACTTTCAGCCCTCAGCATTGTATTAAAACACTGTACATGACACTCAAAATTTGTTTCAGTGCCATCCACGGACAACATCAGTCGCCATTCACCAGGCCAGTAAAAACAGAATAGATAATAGCTTCAAACCCAAGTAGTCAGAGTTACTAGGTCTGCGCCTCAAAACAAAATCCAGGTGACATTCACCACGGCAGTAAAAAAAACAGGTACTTAGGTAACGTAACAGCTTCAAATCTGGTAACATGTTGGTCGGACTTTACACTACCATATTTACATCAACATGGAATAATATGATACCAAACAATAGTGCAACCATTCTGGACAACAAAAGTGTATGATAAAATTAATTTAGAATACTTTGGCAGCATGATTTACGAGCACAGGCAGGTGTTACCCAAGATACCTATAAGAAACCTATACCTATAAGAGAAGGCTGGGTGTTACCTACCAGCCTTCTCAATGCTCGTAAAACCAACATTGTAGTTTTGATTTTACCTTACATGATAACACACTTGGCTGCAATGGCACATTTAATTTAATACTGTGAAAAGACCAGTTATAACCATTTCACAAGCACAATTGCACCTCATGCCGACATCCTTTTCCAAAGACAGTCAGCAGCGTCTTTCGTCAAAACTGGAAGATCAATCCCCTTTCAACTGTTAACATCAAAAATATTTCTTCATGGTGTGATCTCCATATGGAAACCTTGCAGGAAAAGAATTAATGTCAATTGTCAGCTCTTCAAATTTCTTTGGACTTTAACTTGCAGTACCATATCCAGTTTGCTTTGATATTTTGTTTTTTATTCCATGTTGAAGTTGAACACCAAGCTCCAGATATAGCAGGCAGCTTGATCATCTTCGGCCTTGGTATAATATCAGTCCAAGTTCCAGTGGTGGGTATCTTCTAATATTCAAATTAAAATGAAAAGCAATAGGCTTTCTCAGCGCCGACGACGGATTTCACGTTGATAAAAAAGGGAGCTCAAGGTCAGCAAAACTCGGGTTCAAGGAATGGCGGGCGTTGAAATGACTGCTGACGTCATCAGAAAACCGCTAATGGTTAAGAGATAGGGACTAAGCTGGTCCCACCCTGCAAGTAAAGGGAAGAAATTTCTTGAACACCATAAAGCTGCGGGGTTTGCGACCAGGATAAATGGTGGTTTCTGAGCCTGGCCGCAAACTTGGCTATCTCAACTCAAAACTAATGTTAAGGTGGGATGGTCCCTTTAACATACCTATTCCATCTCCATTCCCAGCCTTGTCGAATGATTGAGTGTGAGGGAAAATGGGAAGTTAACTAACGCAGTGCATAGGTACATACGGCTCTCGCGAGATTAAGCGGTAGGTTTCGCACTTTTACATTTCCGGTTATATCTCAGAAACTAATCCATCTAGGATGAAGCCATTTTACATGATAATGGCCGGCTTATGAACCAACAAGTCGATCGCATCTTCAACACTTAAAAGCTTAAGACGACGAGGATATAGCCGGAAGTACACTAAATTTTCTAGGTGCAAATTTAGCAAAACCTACCGCTAAAACCCGCGAGACCTGTACCTACTACCTATACGTATTTTTACAGATACTGCTAGCATAAGCAATGTGCTGTAAGTTTGCCTTATTATAACTTTTCGATTTTTTTCCATAAGAAATTTCAAAGTTTTAATGTATATTGTAAAATAGAGTTATTAGAATCAGCCAAAAAATGTCGGTTCTGAGCGATGATTGAGAAATCCTGTGACGCCATTGAAACCTTACCACTAAGAAGTCAGTCAGATTTTCCTATGCGACTTTAGCGAACAGTAATATGATTGTAAACCTAACAAACAGTTACGCAAAGTATGCGCACCTTCCTCCAGATTTGGCGCGTCGGAAACATTGAAAGAGGGCCGTTAAACGCTTCCTGTCGACGTCATGCTAGAGATATTCGTATCTCTCATGGTTATGTAACGATGTTGAATTTAGAGCTTATCTTGCTTTTACATACATACACACTTGAGACAACAAAGAAGCGGAGAACAAACAAGACCTTATATCAAAGTGACTCGCAATAAAATCGCAATAGACACAAGGGCTAACAAGCTTGAAGCATGCAAATTCAGCGAGGTGCAGTGGAAGTGGAAACGCTGTAAGGCTGGTTCGCCCAGCATCCACGGCAGAGGTTCTTTTACCATTGTGCCAGGCTTTGTAATTGTGACAGGCAACACGTTACCTGGATAACGGGGGGCAATCATGGCAACAAAAAGCTTGTTTAACCCGGCGGCCGCTGGGCCTCCGCGCCACCCGCCGGCCGCTGGGGGGGGGCATAAAGTTGCCCCCCCTTTACTTCTGCGACGATATCGTCGCAACGCGAAGAGATAGAGAAGCGAAACTTTGCACACATCTACCTGAATACCTAGCCGAGGTTGTGTCCAAATTTGGTGTCGATCCCATTTGAAATGACGTCACAGTGACGTCATAAGTGAAATTATAGATTTGCGACTCTCATATTCCTCACGATACATCGCATATATGGGACTGAATATAAAGGGCCGATTATTGGTCAGAAACTAGATGGAAGTGTAGTAAGATGTTTTAGGATGACAGCAGGTGCTGTCTAGTTCATTTACAGTCGAGTTTCATGCTCAGCGTCATCAGAAACTGTCCATATCGGAAAACGACAAAACTTTATGACGTCACTGTGACGTCATCTTAGGTGCTACAACCACCAAACTTTCCTCAAACATTGCCTAGGTATTCATTTGAAGCTATGCCAAGTTTCACGTTCGTAGCTCATCAGGTTTCGGAGATATTTCACAAAACGTAAAGGGGGGGCAACTTTATGCCCCCCCCCAGCGGCTCGTGGGTTAAATTCATGTAAATTAGCCGGCTAATGCTAGTAGATAACTGTTAAGCCAAAGTGCAATATTTGGGCATTGAATGACTAACTTATTATGAACCGTATCATTGTGTATTTAGATTGCTAAAACAATTTTTTTTAATTAATCGCAGCACCGGTTTCTACGAAGTTGCCGAAAGCCACTTTCTGGAATGCTCCACTCGCAGCAGGCAGCAGCAGACCCGCGAACATGCTACTGTGCGTCTTCAATGCGCGAACAAGTGGTTTGATAATCACCACGAATCTACTTCTGGTAAACAGACTGAGTGAATCTGCTGCCACTACCTGGAAACATATAATCATTGTCGTCTATCAATATTCAATAGAATCGCGAAGATCAATCGGCTCATAGATTGGCGAGCATTTATAAGATAGCTTCATTAGGATGGCCTAACCAGCATCCGGCTCAGGCTGAGGTAGCAAAATTACTGCCAACTTATATGGCTCCTGATGTGAGGCGTTTAGTCTTAGTATTGCGTCTAGTGTAGTTGATGAATATTGTATAGTGATATGTATGCGGCGAACACTTTTGCAATACATGCGAAAAAAATTGCGGGATAATTCCAAGCAATAGCTATAGGGCTGTGTGCCGGCACGTTTTCACTGTAGCGGAAGTCCTACAAGAGTGGGGATTTGGATGTCGAAACACCCCATCAACACGGCTTAGTAGCACTACATCAGAGGTCATTTTCAACACGTCTACCGGGATTTGCATTTAATGACTCAGGTGTCTGGCACCGTGCTTGGGCCATGCATGATCCCCATTAGCCGCATACCATCAGCATAACTAGGTCGGACGGCCTCATACACGCTCCTGGCCCGATTAGTGCGCCCCGCTGCCCGTCCGCGGTCCTCCTCCCGTCCCCGGTCTCCCCGTCCCCGGTCCTCCCCCGTCTCTGGTCCTCCCCGTCCCCGGTCCTGGCCTGTCCCCGGTCCTCCCCCGTCCCCGGTCCTGGCCTGTCCCCGGTCCTCCCCCAACCCCGTCCGTCCCGGCGCCGGTCCTCCCCGTCCCCAGCCCCCGTCCCCGGTCCTCCCCGTCCCCGGTCCTCCCCCCGTCCGCGTTCCTCCTCGTCCCCGGTCCCCCCGTCCCCTGTCCTCCTCGTCCCCGGTCCTCCCCCGGCCCTCCCCGTCCCCGGTCCTCCCCCGGCCCTCCCCGTCCCCGGTCCTCCCCCGTCCCCTGTCCTTCCCCGGTCCCGGTCCTCCCCGGCCCGGTCCTCCCCCGGCCCCAGCCCTCCCCCCGTCCCTGGTCCCCGTCCCCCGTCCCCGGTCCTCCCCCGGCCCTCCCGACGCCGGCCCAGTCGCCGCTCGGGCGTCGCTCGGACTGCCAGTCGTCGGTCGACTGCGCTCGCAGCGGGGCGGCGCGTGCTGCTCCGCTCCTGTGGCAGTGGTGGTGGTAGACGGTGTGTGTTGCGGTGCTCAGATTGGTGAATTTAGCCGGCGACGTCAGAGGCTCACGCGCACACACACCACCGACCGCGCGGTTTGAGCGGGTGACCGGCGGTTTGACGGGGTAGTTGAGTGATGCCAACTGCTTCACTGTGCAATTTTCGCCGTCTCTGATCAGTGAGACTGACAATTGCTATTTTAGTGAAATCCGCGAGCCCTCAGTCGAGTCACCTCTGATGAGGCTGATTCCAAACAAGTTACAAAAATACTATTAAGAAATTCACTTCATGCACGCTAGCTAAATAGGAAAATGGCTGAACATCAAAGCATATAATTCATCAAATGTCATATGCGTAAACCTTGTCGCAAACCCTTTTATGTAGTTCAGGCATAAACGTCAGATAAGCGGAAACTTAGATGAAACGCTTAACCTGTCGTAAATGGTGTTAACTTATTTCACCTGAAAACGTGAGTTCACATCACTCCGGCCTGCACCGGACTTGGGTGTTACTAAACTCGTATGTATCCGCAACACATTTCAGCAGCGATCTGGACATTAAAATCGGAATGCACTGCAGTAGCCCATGTTCACTGCAGGTATTTTCTGCTATTCGTAGAAAACAATGGCAATTTATGGCACCCACGTTCCGCCTGACGGAGCTGGCGTATATTTAGGTGTGCTGTTATCGTATAAATATAGTTGATGCCATGCGTTCTTTCCCTGATGAGAAATGTCATGTTGAAGATATGTGTTATAAAACATCCCTGACAATAGTTCGGGCGACCAGATATTTTAGGTCTCTGAACTGAATTGATAGCGAATGTTTCAGATGGTCCACGTTTCATTAATCACAATGATACCATACCCGACGCTAAAGTTCTCTATCCCAACTCAAATTCATGTTCATGGAGCTCTCTCCACCAACTGATTTATTTTGGCCTTGGAATGGAGCATGATATGAATAGGCCCATGAATAGGTCAAAGTGTAAGCCGTTTTTCACCTAACTTTGGATCACCGCCTTCAAATGTCAGACAAATCTATTTTAGTGACCATCCCACCTTAACATTAGTTTTGAGTTGAGATAGCCAAATTGGTGGCCATGGCCTGCAAATATCGGTTTGGACACTCACAGCATCAAAAAATGCTTTAATACGGAGATATGGAATTTCAAACTTGCAGTTTTCGGATTTTAAGGGGCTAGTGCATTGGAATACCCCCTTAGAATTTGTGACGTCAGCGGAGATCTAACGATTTTTAAACCTTCAACTGAAACTATCGTTAACACGTGGTGGTGTACACTGCTTTGCACGCAACGTCTGCCGCACTTCGAGGCTGCCAAATTATTGCTTCCAAATAACTTGCAAGGAACAGCGGAGATCCCAAAAAGTAAACAAAAGTAAAAGCCTAATATCTTGAAAACCAGTGAATACTTTTCGGTGAAATTTGGTAGATATTTATTTTTGATCTTTCCGAACCAAGGGACCTCGCTTTTACGCCAATTCATTAACTTTTTTGAGGGTGGGAGCCGGGAGGGTCCCTTTAAAGCTTCACCAATATGATGTGACTTGCTCCATAAGTATTCTTTCTTTTGTGTATCTCTTCTATAGTCCCTGTAAAAGAAACGGCAAAATGCGAGTGTTGTAGCTTCATTAATAAAGTTCTTTAACACGCGCAGTGGAAGGGCTGCGAGTAGGTACTACGCCCAGTGGAAGGGGGGGGCGGATGTCGCCCCCCCCCCCTAAGATCTCAGCTCCCACTGGAGCTAGAAAGACGAAATTTGGAGGGTAGGTGGGGGCCCAGGGGAACTCTGCTGTGTGTGAATTTCATGACCCTAGGTCATGAAAAAAGGGATCTTCAAGGTCAAATGAGGTCAAAAGTGTTCAAATCTGCCATATTAGCGACTTTTTTGCGTTTACACGCCGATAACTCAAAAAGTTACCGGACGATTTTCTTTTTTCTTTCACTACACGAAAGAACATACATTTGTGAGTATGTATGGTGAATTTCTTGTTAATCCAACAATAAATATGGCAGTTAGAAGCCTGCTAAGCGTAAGATGTCGCCGGCTGAAGCGGGATCGGCGGACGCGGGAAACGCGGCAATCACAATTTTGTGTTTACACACTCATAACTCAAGTTGTTACCGGCCGATTTTCAAAATTCTTTGACCATAAGATTGCCTGTACATTTCTTAGTCTCCTCACAAAATTTGACGCGAATCGAATATAATCAGCGGTAAGGAGCGCGATGTAAAGACGGGACCGTCCCGCCCCGGCACAGTCTACAATTCAGGCGGCGCGTAACGGCTAGCGCCGGCCGTCGCGCCGCCGCGCCGCCGCGGCGGCAGGATGTTTGACTTTACACCGCTATTACTAGAAAAGTTGTGACCCGATTTTTTTATTTCTTGCACGAGAAGATCCGCAGTTCAATTCTGGACAGGTAGCCAAAATTTCACATTAATATCATGTTTGCGGCGCGAGTTATTGGCAAAAAACAGGAGGGGTGGGCGAAATCCGCCCCCCCCTTCCACTGCGCATGTTAATGGGTAACTTACAGTTTCACGCTAATATCGGGCTACGCTGTAAACAAACAGTAGTAGTTGGAGCGAAATATTTCGAAAATATGGGCAATTATTATTGAAGTTCCATGTGATTTTGTTTATCAATAATTGTCACTAAAAATGCGGCAATCCTTTTCAAAGCTTTGAGATCTATCACGCAACATTTTACCGGATTTTCAATAACACTCTCTGGGATGAAAAATGTAGCGATGCAAAAAAAAAATATGTGAAGAAGCTATGAACGAGTTTAATAAAACGTCAGCGCTTGTGTTTTAATCATGCATCATCAATAAATTCCGAACTGGCCGATATTCGGTTCGATCGTTTAAGCCGTTGGCCGTTTGATTTCCTGTGCCGCCGGTAAAGGATGACGTCTCCGGTCCAGGTTTCAGGCGAGATGTAAGGCCGAATTCCCCGGAGTAATTAGACGCGGGACGTTCGTTCATTGGCAGGCAGGCACCACAGGGATGGGACCAACCTTCTGGGAACGCGAATCCCTGAAGCAATTGACAGAAAATGGATGGCAATGAACAGGCCAGCTGAGACCCTCGCCCAAAGCTTCGTGTTTTGCAGTATGCTGTTTTCTGTCATTAACTGTTTACTGAATTTAGCTTTTTATTTGATGACAGTGAAATCTACATTGGGGTCATCTATGACACTTCGCCTTCATGACCACTGTTCTAGCTCTTGGGTTCTGGTGGCTATTAATGAAAATATATTGTTTCCTGGCGCCGAAGGTATCGGGCATTCGGTGTCTATTTTTACCCTCCAGTGCATTAGCTTACATCTGGAGTGGCGGGCTGCTGCCAGTTGAATTCCGTACTAGCTCACAGGCTGAGTGGTCAAACAATGTATAGGGCAAGCCACTCAACAGCTGGACTTGACATGATGCTGATGGAAGCTGACACTTCAAGCTCGAGAGTTGCCGATGGTTCCTTACAATGGTTACATTATATTATATATTTACTTATTTATCCTTTTATTAATTTTTCACATATGATTGTAGGCCGGCGCGGTAGGAGAGGGCCGGTGATTGTGCACTGTGCAGGGCAGCGCGGGTGTATATCGGTGTCAGTCCGCGTAACTCGATTGGCCCAGGTTGACGGGTGGGTCGTTATGGAGCAGCACTCCCGGGCCGCCGCATCCGGGTGCCAGATTGATGTGTGCTGGGCACCCAGCAGCGCGCCGGGACAGTGTCAGACTGCGCGCAGGAGCGGACAGGCGTCCCACGGCGACTACATGACCAGAGTGGGTCACCTCGTCTGCTGATTAGCTGACAAACAATTAGTGCTGTCTGTGGCTGTGGGACTGAGGTGGTACTCTGCCTGCTAGGAGGTCAAAGATGGCATCTGAGTTCCAACCATGCCGCCATTGCATCAAAATTGAAAGTCATAGGCTTGTACCAGAGAGCCGTCCGAAGCTTTACATAGAGCATTCTGCAAGGGATGCAAGGCACATGGTCAATTTGTCCACAACTAAGCAGTGGTTATATAACAGGTGACTTCCGTCCATTCTGCAGGGTATTTTAAACACGCATCAGCTAGTCGCAGAGTCCTGTTGGCTGTTGTCTCTCTCACACATCCATTTGCATTATGAAATATTACCAAACCTTCCAGCTGCTTTAAACAAAATAAAACTTCAAGACCATGTAATGGGCACTCGCGAGTCCTGGAGATTCCGTAAGAGAAATGCCTTATTTGATCAGCCACCTATGGCGATGGTTCGTCCCGCCAGACACATCAGACACATGGAACACCACACATCGAGCACCAGACACATGGAACAGGTCCCGCCAGACACATCAGAGCATCCTGATGTGTCGAGAGCTTGCCGGACATTCGTTGGCAGCAATGCACACATCATCTACATATTCATTGGCTCGCTCCTGTGCCAAGTGCTGCTGGCAGTATTTGGACGAATAGGTAAAGCGTTTTTGTTTTGCACATAGAATAATCTGAAAACTTACCCAGAAGGCCAGAAGTATTATTCAGTGGTAAATAGAAAATTGTTATGAGCCACGATCATTTACTGACACTGGGGTACTTTTATATCAGCAGTTGCAATTGTTGTTTTAGTTGGACATTTTAATTTAATAATTGAAGTACACAATATTTACTTAGCATTAAAAACATTTTGAAGGTGTATATTTACATCACCACAATCGCCTGAAATGTTATCACGAATAAAGTAACTTTTAGCTATGAATACACTTAAAATAATTATTTCCTAAAATCTAAGAAAACAAAAGTAACTGAAATTCACTCTGGAATAAATGTCCTTGTGACCACCGCAGTTACCACTGCTCCTCCATAATCATTAATCATGGTGCTGTTACATCTGCTACCGTCGCGCAGCTGAGAGAAAATGCCATGTTGACACTGGACTTGAACACGCTTTCCTTTAATTGTGGGCGATAAGACGCGACATGACTAGAAATGGTCTAGTTAGCCGCCGGATTCTGAGCGGGGCGCGGCGAGAACGGCCGTTCGGCTCGCCTGCAGATATGATGCCGGAATTTCGACGACATGTTTCACCGTTATGGTGGGTCTCCGGCGCATACTAATATGGTAATGGAATTGTCAGAAACTCGTTATAGTTGGATGATAGCGTGATTAATGGTCTTGCCGTTAGGTTTTCACATTACCGAGCTGCTGTTGACCCACCTTTCATGTTCACTAGCATGCCGTAGGGATGGAATTGGGGATGCTTCAAGCTTGATTTCAATTTGGGTGAGGTCAAATGGTAAAGTAGGCGAGGCCTTTTGGACAACCAAATTCATTATTACGGTCATATCTTTGGGTATCCTGTAAAATTTATCTCACAATAGTACGCATTTGATGGGTGCCGCCCCGTACTGAATACCAGTCTCTAAGAGCTACCGAGAGATGGCACTAGTGTCGTGCCTGAGAGGGTAGACTATCCCGCACGACAGGGCTCGACTGATTCGCGCAGTCGCCGCTGTGACTGAGGGATCGGATCCTGTGGCGACAGCTTGTCTGTTCTTTGAGATCTATGAAATTGTCTCCTACCATACGATTTAAAGTTAATGACCGAAAACAAAGCAAAAACAAAATCTTACGAACGAAATACAGAAACACAGATGGCATCACTCAAATACCTGCGCATCCACAGAGCACAGCGTTTAAAACATTCACAGACCATAAGTGTGACTGTGGCGATGAAGACCGGCGCCGATTCTAGTGATGAGAGTCAGGAGGATGCAGAGCCGGCGCCGCCCGACGGCGACACACAGCACGTGTTCAAAGACCTGTCCGGAAAGATGGCGCAGCGGAGGGCAATGCAGAAGGTGCAGCGCCGCCTGCGCTCAGCTGTGCGCTTCTCCACGGCCTACTTCACACAGTACGTGCGCTACAAGATTCTGAAGATGGACTGGGTGAACGACTACGTGGCCGACTACATGTACCAGCGGTAGTGAGACCGCTCTGCCACTAGTTTGGACTGCGTGAGACTGAATGCTGGGAACAGGAGAGCGATCGGCAACAAAAAGTGATTCGTGTGTAGACATTGCTCACGTGAACATTGGGGCACATTTAGTGACACTGAAGCGTGCAATATATATTTGATCAGTGTTTGTTTATTAGGGAACTCACAATGGTGCTGGAAGTGTTTGCAAGTGTGTCACGATTTGCAGGTAAGCCGCATGAGTAGATCTTACGTCCTCAATCGTTAGCACAGGTAACTCTGTACATGTTATAATGCGCATCATTTCGTCATTTTATCACAAAAATCAAATGCCTTTTTCAGAGATAAGACGATGCATATGGCTCAAATTTTCCACCACTGACAAAGGCACCAGCGATACCCTCAGAGGCGGCCTTACTTGCGTTAAGCTGGACTGTCAGCAGATGTGCAAAAAGAAACCCCCGTAGAAACCTCATACATGTATAAAGAAAACATCTCATCAAAACCCCTGCTACGCCTTGCCAACTCCGAAACAGCTATGTGTGATAAACAATGCTTTCGTCGAAACGTGCCTCTATATGGCTCGTTAATTTACCGTATGGAGCAATGCTCACCATTGTTAATTAACATAAATTTTCCGTTCATTACCGCGAGCAGTGACATTTGGGGACGCCAGCAAATTAACTGTGGCTGGTTCCGGCGGATGCCATCAACACGATGTCCTTGGGGAGTCCGTGTGCGGACCCAGGACCCAGGATCCAGGCCCAGTGGGCCACCTTCCAGCACCGAAATGGCTCGCATATTCCTTATGCATGTAGAGCGCAATAAAATCGTTTATGGCGCCGGCGTCGGTGCAGTAACTGGCCAGGCGCCCCGAATGGCTCCATTGGCGCCGGTGGCTCCATTTGAGTCGAACCGAGTCGAATGGTTTCCGGTACCGGCACGCAGAGGAGGCAGGGAGTCGGCTGTGACTCATTCTGTCTTGGAAGGCAGGATGACTCGCAGTCTTTTGGTTCGAACTTAGGTAGACCAAGATGTGTAAGAATTTGTGATCGGACCGAGTGAAAAGCGCAGAGTGTGTCTGAACCAGTGGCTGAAAAGACTAGACTGTGTACAGCTGAGTCACAGCAGTGGCACAACCTTGGTGGGTTGTGGTGATCTGTGCATTCTGTGGTTCGGTATAAACCAGGCTGCTGTGGTCTGTGATCAGAGATGGCCAGGTATGACAGACCCCCATGGCTCGCGCCCGTATGTGACGCTGCAGACTGGAACAGTATGGTGCGACTTGGGACCCTGGTCAGGGTCCGCTCCCCATTGCCTGCTCCCTGCAGTGCGTGCCACTACAATAGGGCGCCGCTCTCCGAACGCTTTGTTCCGGGTGCGCTGGCATCGCCACCGCTGAGACGACAGAAAGTTGGCTGGCCTTTGGGCGCCGCTCGTCACCGCCGCGCCGGCATTGTCTCTGAGCGTGTCCTCGGCAGTAACTGCCTCTTTATGGATATCCAGAGTCGCGCGCCGCTCCGGCTATCGCCCGTCAGGGATTTACACCGCCGCTATAGTTAGCCTGGTCGGAAATAAATGCTGTTAGGAGAGACGGTGAGTTATATTTTCCTCTGCCGGCGGAGAGGCTCATATCTCCCCTCTGCTGGTGAGGTGGCGACGGGTGAAAAGGAGCGCGCTGGGGCTGATGAACGCGTCATCTGACACTGCCATCTGATAGCCCGCTCTGATGGTGATGTCCCTCGGGGATGCCAAGTGAAAACACGCCCATTTGGGTACCAGTGAAATGGTCCGTTCAGTGCCCGGGTGAAAAGTTTGGGACGAAAACAACCACAGACAAAGGTAGCAGTTGCTAGATATCGGGATTGTTAGGCTTTTAGCGAGTTTGTAAGTGAATGAGCTTAGGCAGCACGTTTAAGGCCATTAGCACCCGTCTCTAGCTATCTGCCGCTATACAAACAAAACACTTGACTCTGTTCTACTAATCATTATCTTAGATTGGCGTGAAGCCAGTACCTCCAATTGCTGATTGACGGTGTTTTTCATACATGACGTACCTAGTTTGCCGGTGCGATGCGCTAATGAAGACGCTGACATGACGTCAAGTATACGACGTTAGAAAAACTCATCGACAAATAGAATATATGCTGGTGGCATCAAAGGGTTGTTGCATTTATCTCCCGAGTCTTGACTTTCCTGTATCTTAACACCTCGAAGTCACAATGCATCGCGTTGCATCGAGCCGATGGTCTGCTGCGGTGTCAAACTACCCAAATAAGATCAGCAAATGGTTCAAGTGAGTGTCGCATACGTAATGAGGTCAGTGCCTGTCACGCGAATCAAATGACACTTCGACCACTAAATCTGATTACCTATCATGGGACGTATCGAGCTGACAGACAATTGTGTTGATGTCACCATCGTCGGGCTGAGGTCTCTTCTGCTATGCATTGGTGATCGTGATCGTGTAATTTAAGACGGTTAATTTGTCAACTCATGAATGAGCTCAATTGAACATTTTTGCTGTTAGGTCGAGCAGAATGACCACCCGTGTGTGGATTGACGATTGTAGAATCAGTCTGATCGACCTGCCGCCGGCCAGGCAGGCTGACAGCGGACTCCCAATAATTGGATGTGGGTGCTACTTTTCTGAACTGCTGCCCGACAAAGTGGCGCCCCTGGGAAATTCCCTTGAGCCGAGATCGATTCGAATTTCGTGTTCCGCCAGCCTTGGCAGTTGACGGCCTGCCACATGTCTTGCTGTGGGAGAAGACCTTAATAGGCTTTACGAAGTGCACTTACAGGTAATCTTGTTGTTCCACAAACTACTGCAAGCCAAACGCTCTTACCAAACCTGGGTCAGAGGAAAGTTGGAAGCAGCAGCGGCTCGCAGTTTAATGGTAAAATAGAGGACAGTCGTAACAAATTGATTCACTTGGCGGAACAGTGTTGATAAACGACGAGCATTTATAACGGAGGCGGCTGACAAGTGCTTGATTGCATCCACTGTGTGATCAACACCAGTGAGGATATTCAGCTGAATGGCTATCTCGACCACCATATATAAACGTCCGCCGCCCGGCGACCCATGGCGAGACGCTCTGCGGAAATTCCACTGGTAATATTTGACATTCTTGCAAACGAATAGCAGACATAAATTAAGAGAAATCAAGCATGCAATATTTTGCTTTGTATTGTCTCTGCTCTCCATGCAAGCCCTCAGACTGTGAGCTGAAGTCTGTTTGGAGACATCAGAGTAATGCTCGCTCTTACCGTTGTCTTGCTCTGCTCTCCTCTGCAATTTCATGTGTACCGAGCACTAGTCTGACCGTCATCTCGCTGTGCCCTCTCAGCAATCCCATGTGTACCGGGTATCTCGCCGTTACCTTGCTTTGCATTCCCTCCCCCGCATTCTCGTATGACTGTTGCCTCGCTCTGCCCCGTCCGCAGTCTCATATGTACCGGGCGGGTATCTGACCGCTACCTCGCTCTGCCCCGTCCGCAGTCTCATGTGAACCAGATACTAATCCGACCGAACTGACACCGGGATTCCCCTGCGCAAACCTTGGATTCTTCGATATTCACGCACCAGTTCGACGCTTCACGTCAGTTAGCGCACGGTGTCCTCACTGAGCTCCAGGGTCGTCCATGGACGACCTTGGTCGCTAACTTTGAGTAAGCCTTCAGCTCTTTTTGCTCTATGTGACTGTAGGTAGGTCATCTAGGTTAACTGCTCAGTCCGGGGGAAACCTAGCGGTGATAACGAACCGGACTATTTATCTTTGCCTGTAACAGACCCCGATCATGGCCATGGACTCGACCGGACCGCCTCCAGGGGCGCGTCTCCCACCCGACCTTGACCCACCAGAAGGCCGCGCTCTCATCCTGATGAGCCGGCCTGATGGCACTCCACTGCGAGGGAACCCGTTCGCCATCATCAGGGAAATCCGCTCGATCTGTGACTCGGAAGTTGAAAAAACGAAACAACTCGGATCTGGCAAAATTCTCATCTCGACCTTCAACAAAGACTTCAACAAAGACATTCTGCCCTTGTCTCCTGCCAAACCATGCTCGGAAAACCTGTTTCGGCTATTCTCGCTACCAACCTGATGTCATCACAGGGTCTCATTCACTGTCCGGACCTCAGCGACCTCTCTGACGAAGAGCTTCTCGCCGAACTAGCCCCGCAGGGTGTTATCGAGGTGCAGAGACTGAAATCTAAAGATCGAACTCCAAACCCCCTGATTCGACTTCGCTTCAAAGGACTCGACCTCCCAAGAAAGCTCCTCTGCGGGTACCTCTCCGTCCCTGTTCGACCCTGGATCCAGCTGCAAGGCAATGCCGTAGGTGTTGGAAGCTAGTTCATTCCATGCGCTCTTGCCGACGGAAAGAGACTGTCTGCGGGCAGTGCTCTGCCAGGGACAGCCACCCCACAGGTGACTGTACCTCGGTCCCAAAGTGCCCTCTCTGCTCTGGTCCACACCCAGCATGGGACCGAAACAGCTGCCCCGTCTGGAAAGCCACCAAACGAGACACTCGAGAGCGAACGCCATTCCAACCCCCGCCGCTCAACTCCACAGCCTGGCCACCACTCGAGAGCCAGCACCGAACGACGCAGCCCCCTCTGGCTCACACAGACGCCTCTGTCCAGACAGATGGTGAGATCATGGCCCCTAAGGCGACCGCAGTCCCTATTCAGACCCAGACCGAGACAGCCAGCTCTCAGACGACCGACGCCAGCACCCAAACGACCAAACTGACCACCTTCGACTCGACCTCTCAAACTCGACCCGCCCGACTGGTCTCCGCCGAAGTCCAGACTGACACCCCCGACTCACCGACACCAACCACGGACCCCGACGACTTCGGCTGCTCTCGAAGCAGGCCGTTCACCCGAGGCTACACGGCGAGCTTCCAGCCTGACAGCCCCCGAAACGACACCGACGATCCCGATCCAGACCTGATCCCGAAGAGACGTCCCAGGGGTGAGATCCCTCCACCTGAAATCGGGTCGCTGAAGTTTGAGTATGCCAGCGGCAGGCGACTTTCCTACCCTCCCTCCACCCTCTACTGGTTTGACCATGAAATCCGACTATACGACCTTGACCTTCGCCCAGAATCCAAAGCGTACAGGGCAGCCGTGGCTGGCTTCTATTTTGACGGACCCCCTCACCACGGACGCCGTATCTTCCTTCAGAGAATTCCTCCAACGGGTAACCACTAGCCCTACCAACATCGCTGCCTAGGAGTCGAGCTATGCCTCACGGCTACTCCTCCAGAGCCACCAATTCCAGTCAAAGTTGTACTATTGCTTCCAAATTAAGCTTGATTCGCGCCTGGCTCTAGTACTGCATTGAATACCCTCCCGAGCCCCTCCCGTACCGCCAGGGTAGCTGTCCCGGTGAGGTGCGTGTCAGACTGAAGCAGTGCGTGGACCTTGTGACTGTCAGTCCGCGCCTGAGGCAGGGACACGGGTGTGACCTGTGATAATGGCGGACACGTGGGCGTGACGCATAGCTGGGTCACATTCTATCCAATCAGGGATGATGAGAGTGCCACAGTGCAGTGGTCAGGCCGATGATTGGGTGGGAGCGCTGGATGGGCGACGGCGTGTCACGGGTGAGAAAATATTTGGCACGCTTGGCAACTTGAGTGCTACACGGACTTACGCTAAACCTTTCCACTTTTTCTGAAGCAGGGAATCGATTTATGTCCTAGACCGAGCTCAGATTTTCGAGCTCTTTCGAATGCCGCTTACCACGTGTCGCATACGTGGCCCAGGAGCCGAGTTAGTGGGGGGGGGGGGTGGTTGGCGCCGAGCACCTGCTTGGCGTGGGTTAATGATTATCTGATAAATATTCATAATATATGTTCAGATTATATTGACATTATTGTTTTAAATCATATTGTGGTTATGATTATTACACGCAATATTAAAACTAGCGCAGTCAAAGCACCCCGCAGTAGAGCAGAAAACATTATCAGACATCGTGCAGGCCCGGGCCGGCGTCGGATCACTGCCCTCGCCTCACAGCGACTTGTGCTTCGGCCGCTGGTCTCGCCCGCCGGCCACATGTGCCCTTGACCTTTGACCTACGATGCGTGTCCTGGCTGAATTCCGTTCCGATCGCGCGTCCAGCTGCACCACGGTTGCGGCCGCGCGGCCCGTCTCGCTCTCGCCGGGCGCTACGCCCGAGCCCCGGGTAATGCCTCTGACGTCAGAGGCGCCCGAGGCCAAAATCGCCGAACGCTGACCGACCACAGGTCACGTCCGCATCCCCTACCCGCGCGTTTGAAACTCCCGGATGACACAAGGCCCCGGATGTCAAACCTCTGGTCTATCACACGGCTCGCCGAGCCGGGTATCTCGGTAAAACCCAGTCTTCGGTAGGGTATTCACTACAGTACTGGAGCGAAGTGAGGATCAAGCTTAATTTGGAAGCAATAATACCCCTAAGACGGGCGGGACATGACTGGGGCACCCGGGTCACACCGGCTGCCATAAACCGCTGGCTGTCTCACTCGGTAGGCCGGTTTTTATTTTGGCCGATCCCTGCGAACAGCCTGCGCAATTACACTTTCACTGTCCACATTAGAGATATAACGTAACGTAACTATTGCGGGGATTTTTACTGTACTCGACAGTTTTTGCCCCTTGACTTAGGCACCAGGTTTTTTCTAGTTAGGACTTTTCCTGGTAAATACATCCCACAACAAACATCACACATTGCAACACCTCACACCATCAGCAGCAAGATTTACAGCAGCAAGTATGAATATTCTACCCCTTTCTGGACACCCTTGCCTTGTTAATCGGACGCCACATGAGCCGAATTAAAGTAAAGTTTGCTTCTCTCTCTTGCTTGGGTCAGAATTAAATAGCTGACAGTAAAGTAAAGTAAAACGAAAGATCTGGCTTATTGCCAGCCTTAGTAATTTCCCCTTCCCTGGCGGCTGCCTTAGGCATGCCGGGAAGACTAAATTAATAAAAAAAGACCGAACTGACTCGCTCTGCCCCGTCCGCAGTCTCATGTGAACCAGATACTAATCCGACCGAACTGTCTCGCTCTGCCCCGTCCGCAGTCTCATGTGAACCAGATACTAATCCGACCGAACTGCCTCGCTCTGCCCTCCGCATTCTCATATGTACCGGGTATCTGACCGAATTGTCTCGCTCTGCCCCGTCCACAGTCTCGTCGCCGGCGCTGATCGGCATCTGTCTGGCGTCGACGCTGCTGCTGCTTTCTGTGGCAGCGGTCACCTGTTTCTGCTACCGGCGCCGCAGCGCGGCCGCGCACAAACTCATCTACCGGCGCTCTGCCGACCAGCCGGTGGGCCTGCGTCGACCCACGGCCGTCCGCAGCCCCGGCAGCCAGGGACACTATCTGAAAAAGTCGCCCAGTCCGACCGGCAAGCCAGCTACACCCGGCTCCGGCTCGGAGGGAGGCGGTGAGCCCCCCACCGACACGGGTGCCCACACGCCCGTCCTCCACACGCCCAGTCCCGCCGAGGACAGCAAGATCCGCTCCATCAAGTGCTTCTCCGAGAATGAGCTGCCTGAGAAGGCCGGCAAACAGGAGGAACTGCCAGAAACTTCCGAGCTGGGCCAACTGCACTTCAGGGTCAGGTCAGTTCCATCAGTTCATTTCGGTTCCGTCGTATCCAATGCTACTAGGTTTTGTTTCGTATTTTTTCCTTTTCTATTGGTTCTTTCTTACTTATTTATTTATAATTCGTGTATAATTATACGAATTATAATTATATTATTTATTTATATTATTTAGTTATGTTTCGGTGTCGATGACGGCTGGCCCCTGCCCGACTTCCTTCAATGATAACTGATATCCTTCAATGTGTCTGTCCCCATTCCGTTCGTCCCCGTCCCGTGTCCCCCTGTTTCCGTCCGTTCCCGTCCCGTGTCCCCCTGTTTCCGTCCGTTCCCGTCCCGTGTCCCCCTGTTTCCGTCCGTTCCCGTCCCGTGTCCCCCTGTTTCCGTCCGTTCCCTCTCCGTTCCCTGCCCCGTGTCGATCCTGTTTCCTTTCCTCTGTACCGCCTCGGCGCGCCCAAAGACAACCACTCGGCCGTCATTTGGCGTGGTGCCACACGACGAGGCGACCGTCAGGATCTGGTGTCAGCACGACGGCCGTCGGAGCCTCGGCGGCGGCCCCACGTGCGACCCCACCATTGTGTCCGCCCTGACCGACTCAAGCACGCTCCCACGCTCTCGGAGAGCCGCCATTTGGCTCGAGCATCGGATGTCAATAGCGAATGTCCCTTCCCTTCGCCAATAACGGCCACTCCACTGTCCAGTCGGTAGTTAGAGACGAGCTGCTATATTGATCCACGCGATAGGTGCACTCCAGTGCGAAAGGTTTTCCCCACTCACATCGGTCGTTATTGTGTCTCCTGTCTGTCCAATACTATCCATCCCATCCAGAAGCGTGTTGGCTGATAACATGAGCTGGCCTAGCCTGCAGCCAGATCGACACTGGTCCGGCGAATATCCGCCGAGTCCTACCTGACCTTGACTTTCTTCAGTCAATCCAAAATCAGCCTTGATGTTGGATCACTTCCGGTCCACTTCCGGCCCGCTTCCGGTCCACTTCCGGTGCAGTCGGAGCGCGCAGGGGGCGCCGCGAATATCATCAGCGCTCGTTAGTAGCACAAAGCCGAACAGTGCCGGGCTGGGGCTGGGCCGGAGCTCGCCGAGGGAGAGGAGGGAAGGAGAGAGAAGACTCATAAATAACGGACAAATGTGCCGCGGGCAGGGTGGAGACCTCTGCTCCGAGGAGAGAATGGCCGGGGTCTCAATGACCGTGGGACGGTCGATGGCCTCGCCCGTTATGGGGATATTCACGTCAGGACATAATGGTGTTGATGGCCGCCAGGGCAGTTCGTTCACCACCTCTCGGTCTGGTCAGGTACAACTCGGAGAGCGCGGCGCTGGTTGTGACCGTGGCCCGGTGCGAGGGACTGCCGGCCCGCGGCGGGCAGCCGGCCAACAGCGACCCGTACGTGAAGCTGCAGCTGCTGCCCGAGCGGCAGCACAAGGTGAAGACGCGCGTGCTGCGCAACACGCTCGACCCCGTCTATGAGGAGGACTTCACCTTCTACGGCATCCAGTTCAACAAGCTCGAGGTGAGACACAACGGCCAGTCCCTGATGCTGGGTGGGTGGGCTGGGGAGAAGTTTGTAGCCGGGTGCTCTGCTCGAAACAGACTGAGGGTGGCTCCGACAGCTGCGTGATTCCCATCAGAAATGCATTAGCTGTTAGATGAAATTATGCGTCTTTAAAGCGTTAACTTTTAAGAGCATGACGGTATATCCGATCAAATGAACTGACGAAATAGTGTAGAAACCGATGTCCGCTTATAACTAGTGCCACAGGCAGCATATTTATAACGAAACTTGTTTTATTTGATTTGCCTACATAGCAGGATATTGAAGTGCATTAACGAAGTTCACTGGGCTTTAGGAGTGGATGATTGTATTTAGTTATGTCAATTACAGAAAATCAGAATACCGATACCAAACCAAATACCAACGAAAATCTCGGGAAAATACCGAAACCAAACCAACTTGAAAAAATGAGGGAAATACCAACTTTTTACCGATTTCTTAGCCTCTTATACATCAGTGAGGGTTTATGATACCAACAAAATACCAAACACATTACGATTGAAATACCAAGTACCAAGTTGGTATGGGTTTGGTATCGGTATACCAAAAAGTTGGTATCCGATTGACATCTCTAATTGTATTCATTTAGTTTGGGACGAAATGAATGTAAAACTTCAAGCTATTCTCTTCGCATACACGATAAATATTTACTTCTTATTAGCTCCTTTAGGAATGTAATGTCCCAGAAGAAACTTAAACATTAAATATTATTGCTTCAACAAAGAGCGCCTCGCTTTGAGCGCCATTCTTATGTGTATAAATGTGAATGTTTATGCATGACTGGCATTTAGCCGATCAACTCTTGATATGACTGATTTTACTTTTCATTTTTCAATTATCGCTATCCAACCATCCAATGATGGCAGGTCACTTTTTCGATTCTGCGTGCTGCCAATGGCAATGGGTCAATAACGCCCAGTTGATATGCTCAGAGACCATCTAGACAGGCGAGGCCAGATAGACAGGCGACTTCTATCAACCAGAAAATGTCATCACGCGCTCGTCTGTTAATTTCAATAATTATGTTATGAAACTGTGTGAAAGATATGCACTCATATCTTCACCTAATGTTCGAATCCATTATACATGTGACACACTCAACACAATACTTCTGCTTCTGTGCGATCTCTATAAATACGCTAGTGTATGCACTCAATGCAAGTATACATTGAGGTAGGTATAGGCGCAATATGAGGTATAGGCGCAATATGACGCATATTTGAGTAACTCATCTCCACGTTTTGTCTTCCCGCAGAGCACCACGCTGCATTTTGTAGTGCTGAGCTTCGACCGCTACTCCCGTGACGATGTAATCGGCGAGGTGCTGTGCCCCATGTCTGGGGTTCAGCTCTCGGAGCAGGACACTACGTGCGAGCTGGTTCGGGACATCACTCCGCGCAGCATCAAGGTGGGTCAGATAGGGAGATAGGCGGACAGACGGAAAGGCGGACAGGCGGACAAGTGGACAGACAGACAGACGGACAGACGGACAACCACTAACCAGACTGACAGACCGGTGTATAGACGGACATTACACCGCCCACCATCAAGGTTGGTGAGAAAGGCAGGCAGACGGATAGACGGACAGACAGACGGATAGACGGACAGACAGACGGACAGACGGACATCAGTCCGCGCACATCAATATGGGTCACATGGATAGACGGACGGACGGACAGAGGGCAGACGGACAGACGGACAGACGGACAGACATACAGACATACAGACAGACGGACAGACGGACAGACGGGCTGGCGGGCAGGCGGGCAGGCGGGCAGATGGGCAGACGGGCAGACGGGCAGACGGACAGACGGATAGGCGGACTGACGGCAGAGGCACAAGTGGCAAGGGATGAGACGCTTAATGTCTGCGAATCTGTTGAATATTTAATTTGCATCGTCTTCATTCCAAGCCAAGTGGAGTTCTTTTGAAGGCAGGCAAAAGATACCGACAGAATTTCGTCAGATGACTGTGATTCAATCTCTTCCACCCAGACTCGTAAGGTCGCTTTTTGTGGCGGATTTAGGAATTGTTTCGCGTGAGGAGGTTCATTTCCTTCTGTTGAGGCGAACCGAAATGGGATTAAAGCTGGAGTGGCCGGCGGGGCAAGACTCCTTTGTGCTGCCTTTACGGCTGGTAAACAACTCTGCGTCTCTGGCCGATGGCCGAACGGTCTGTATCCGGCCCAGTTTGGTTCAGTGGCGGCGTCTCGCAGGACGAGTGATTCTGTTATCAGTCATCTGTCGCCTCGGCAGCCGGCCCATTCATTCACTGGTGCCGTTCCGTCTCTCGCACGCACTATTGGTATGTGAAAAGGTCGTCATTGGGCACGGCTCTTTGACTGAGAGCCACCGTGGTGTGTCTCACGCCTCGATGCAGTGTTGTCAGGGTGCTGACCGGCCAGCCTGGACTGTCATAGTTAGTTCACATGAAGCGCCTGCCGCTGGCGGTCGCCGAGAGAATAGCTCCTCAGCTCTGCAGCTCAGCGTACCCGCTGCCCCGCTCTGTAATTGCCCCCAGTCGGACGGAGGCCGGCCATCATCGTCGTCGCCCGGCGGCACTCATGAAGTGGCCAATAAATCTCACTCAAGCAACAAATGAAAATGTAAATTCGTAAATAAAAATGCAAATGTGATTTTGCGGAGAGGCGCGCTGATAATCCTACAGAGCTCGAATGAAAGCCTGCCACCCTAACGGCACGCGCTATCTGGAAGAGGCGCATTATCCAAAAGATGCTCTTTAACCAGGCTGGACGGTGGGGCAGCGGTATCCAGGCGAGTTGTGAAACCTGACCAGACACATTTGTCTGGACTGACATTTTTCATGAACAAAGCGTGAAATACCCACCCAGACAGTGTGCGTTACCCAGCCCCCAGAAAAGGAGGCGCATTACACAGGGGAGCAGGTGCGTTACCCAGAGAAGGAGGATGTTGCCCAGCCGAAAAAGCGAGCTGGTCAGAGGAGATGCGCGTTAATGTGATGCCACCTCGCCTACCAGGGAAGAAGGCGAGCTGCCATTCCGGCCCGCCCGCGGACTGTCCGGACGGGCCGGCTACACGCCAGCGCGCCGCCGACGCAGGCCCGGCCATTTGGCCGCTCCAACTCACCACCGGCGGATATTATGTGTTTTTCTGTGGTGACAGTTGGCCGCCCGTCGCACGGAAGCCGCGCCGGGTACATCGATCCCGACTCCCGAGCTGGCCGGCCGGGGCAGTCTCAGGAGGGTGGACCGGTCCCAGTGGAGACGGAGTCTCTGACACTGCTGTCTATAGGACACGGCACGGCGCCGTCCTCGCGGCGCCCCGTCCCGTCGGTTCCCGCCGCCTCCGACGGTGACGACGATCCGCGGCCGATGACGGCGGCACATCCGGTGTGGGCCCGCCGACCCCCGGACCGACGCCAGATCCGGCCCGCCCACTCCCGGCGCCACGCACGGACCCGGACCGAGCGGCGAATGTATTATCTGATATCGGGCCGGTGCCCCCTTCCCAAACGACAGCGCTCTGCATCCGGTCCAAGTATCAGACACGACGAATATGTACATGTTTGAATTGGAGGTTATTTGAAAAGGAAATATTGAAAGTTGTCGAATCATAGAGAGCTGCAAAAGGAGAAACACGTTTTACGAGTGCTATATCATGAAACTGTGTACAACATGTCATCGACAAAAATCTAGATCGGTCTACAAAACGGTGGTAAATACTTTCCACAGCAATTCGGAAGCCTGTTCTGCCTATCATGAACCAACAAATATATCAGTTTCTCGGAGGAAGTTGAATGATTCTTTTTTGAGAGAGCGAGAGCCGTGTTCCATTTCACCGGATCTGCTGACCACTGCACGGCCCGCGGTCAGTCGCAGAGTTTGCAGACCCGGCTGCATCCATCACTTGCCACTTCCTGACGAATGGACGCCATCGCAGCTATCCGGCAACGGGTGACCTAGATGTCTAACGGTGGGGTGAAACAGGGCGACCTTAGCCGCACACTAACCTGCTGCCAGCGAACAGAAAATGAGTGTTCTGTACAGCTTAATTTTCGGCAAGATTGCAAGTTACAACAATTAGTGCGTCTCTCGAGGCAAAAAGGAGTTCTATTTGGGGAGCGGTGCAGGAGAGGCTCCGCTCTGAGGCCCCTGGTGTGCAGGCTGCTGCCGTGAGGAGTCTCTTATGGGACAGAGAGGACAGCTATTGCTCCGACTGATATCATTTCTCGCTCGGGGCGATAGCGGTCGGTCCCGAGGGGGCTACCACGGCTCCCAGTGTGCATAATGAATGGGACGCGTTTCCGACAGGCGGTAGTCGTTCGAGCCTGTGGGAGGTCGCACCGACGGACAGATCGACAGACAGACAGACAGACAGTCGGGGACAGACAGACAGACAGTCGGGGACAGACAGACAGACAGACAGACAGACAGACAGACGTACAGACCGACAGACAGATCGACAGACAGACAGACAGACAGACAGACAGACAGACAGACAGACGGACGGACGGACAGAGAGACAGACGGGCAGACGGACAGACGGACAGACGGACAGACGGACAGACAGACGGACAGACCGACAGATCGACAGACAGACAAATCCGATAGACTGACAGACAAGATTGGGATGCAGACATAGATTAACTGACAGACAGAAAGGGACAGAGGCTGCCGTCGCTCGGACAGGCACCGATGTGCCGGCGCTGGCCGCCAAGATCCAGCGGATGGCATGGGCGAATGACACGCGTCATTACCGCGGGCTTATTGGCCGGCTGAGGCGGGGCAGGGACCGGCGCAGCGGCCGATCATACGGCCCTCGCAGTTCGCTGCCGCCCGCTGCCGCCGGTGCCTGTCCCCTGGAAAACACGGGCCCACTAACGACCGCCGTCTGCTGAGCAGCAGGGCTCTCAATTTCCGGCGGTGCGCTCCTCTATTGGAGGTCTCGGCTGAGCGGCCTCGGCCGAGAACGATATCGACCGTACTGTGCGCGGCTCCCGATTGGAAGCGAAAAATTCGGACCGGTAGCCGATAGCTCTCCAAGGCTTCGATGTCGGAAAGTGAGTAAGATATCTTTCCAAAGTTTTGTTTTCTGTCGAAAAACTTTATTATGGAGGAGTTACACTGCGTGGTCGAAGAAAGCGCAGCCACTGCTGCCATAAAGCTGAGCGAACTAAAAGTTTAATCCGTCAGAGTTCAGACGTACGGCCAATAGGTGAGACGTGGCGCAAGGTTACTGGTCCTACCGGAGCACTTCTCAAATTACATTTGTATTCCCCACCTTACGAGCCCCGGCTCTGTGTGGGACGTCCAGCAGCTGCCCGTCTGGCCGGTTCCTCATTCCGAGGTTAGGTTAGGTTTCCGAGGCAGCACCGGCGGTGAACGAACGTGATTCTGATCCGACAGACACATCCGCCGATCCAGGGACATCGCTCTGATCCCCCAGACGTGCCTCCTGTCCAGCTGGGGTCTCGATCAGCGCACCATCTACCCGACGGCACAGCGCCCGCCAGCGTCCTCCACTCCACCACAGTCTGCGGCGGCGACCGATGACGGCCACAATCAGCGATAAGCTCATCAGGGCACGGTCGAGTGCGGCGCTCTGTTCTGACGAGGTGACGGCCGGCCGCGGCGCCCCTCCCCGGTGGCCCGGCACGTGCCGCGGCTGCCGATATCCCGCCGCAATAACGAGCTGTCGAGGCTGGCCGGGTGACCGCCCCAGACGGCACGTCCCTCCGGACGGCCCGGCGACCCGGTCTCAGCCACCGAATGGTACTGAGCCGCCCAAATGGGGCGTCGGTGCGTCGTTAGCGCTAAGGCTCGCTGTGTGTCAGGGAGTCTTGTGGGAAGAGTCCCCCTGTGACGTCGGTTAGCATTCACGGCACGCTGCCCTTGCCGCCGCCTTCCGGGGTGTTTGGTAGTATCGGCGGACCGTTAGAGCTACTCCAATGTGCTATGTGACTTCTGTAGGTCGTTACGGTCGGCTCTCTGCAACACTGAGAAACCGGTGTATCGTGCAAGCCTATGACATGACAATAGCCAAATACCAGTGGATTATGACAGCCAATCTCGACAAGCAAATGCTAATATTTATCGATAGAAAGTAGGTAGGTGTAAGGGAAACTCAGAACTGAAAGACAGGGAAGCTTATAGCATGTATGCAGCAGTATTCAGGGAAGAACATCGATGTCAAGCATGACAATACGAGTACAGCCTATCAAACGAACGCTATTCTCGCTATTGGTGATGTTAATTAAGAAAGCCAATGTTTCACATCACTAGCAAGGTAGCATATAAACTTTCAGAGCACCCAGTGCTCATCATATCCAATGGACAGGCCGCCTGCTGTTTCTCAGAGCCATCCTCTTAAATTGAACATCACTGTGATTAAATTTACGATTCCAGCTGCAGTGAAAGCAGTGTTAATGTGTTACACAATGGACGGCGCGGGATAGTCCAGCATGTGGCGGGTAGAATCTGATGAATCTCAGGTTTCCTCCCTTTTGTGTAGATTCTACATATATTCCGCGAAATCACAAAACGAGTAACAATCTAACGTGGTAAGACAATCTTAACGCTGCAATCTAAATTGCATTAGAGATAATGCTACGTAAGTTTTAAGCTCGATAGTTTCAGCCATTGATGGTAAAGGCCTGAAGTGAACAAGGCTGGTTTCCAGCTGCACTTCATTTGGAAGCATCACAGAAAGGAGCCGAGTTAAGTTTTCATTGATATTCCGGGCAGAGCGGTCAGACCGCCGTCCGACTATCGCCCTAACAGCGCGCTCGCTGGCCAACTTGGCTCAAGTAGTCGATGAGAGTTTGAAACTGACGTGCCTTAACCTGATCCCGGCGCAGCGCGCTGATAGAGCGCTCCCATGGGCCGCTGGCAGGGGCCGCGAATTCTAGGGCCGCTCCACGATGGCGCGATGCTGCTTCTCCAAACCATGCTCCTTGGCGGCCGTTTGATGGAGGATCCACATTAGAACGGCAACGGCGCCATGTGGCTCATAAGTGATGTTCATAGGTGCGTCTGATTCGGCGCTCAGGTGGCAGCTGGAAGCGTGTGTAATTTCATGATATTTTAATGGCAGAGCGTCGTTGGACGCCAGCGCTGCACACTAAATAGTTAAGTTTCTAACATTTTTCTGTGATAGGAATTCGCGACGAACGTTTAAAAAGATGTCAGAGTGCTTACAAACGGTACCTTCTGTTTTGCATTTTAGCTATTTGGAAATGCTTGTGTCGCGGTAAAAAAAAATTGTGAATATGCTAATATGCTATGTACCTTTTCATGCACTTTTCTTCTCATTTTGATCATCCCGTCCCCCAGCCTCTCCTCTCACCTCCTCTCCTTTCCTCTCCTCTCCCCTCTTCTCCCCTCATCTCCTTCTGTTCCCTTCCCTCTCTCCTCTCCTCCTATCCCCCCTCCCTCTCCTCTCCTTTCCTTCCATACCTCCATTCCATTGTCCGGCGGTGGCGGCTGAACGCTGCACGCTGTGTTTTCCGGCAGAACAACACCGGACTAATAACTGTCGGCCAGGTTTAATTTCACCCGAGCGCGGCGTTTCCACGTGACAAACGACACCATGCTGCGCGCACTCTCAGGAGCTAGTGGCTACCTCACTACATCTCCAGACGGGATCAACTGGGCTATTGTGTCCCGAAAGGATGTTTGTTCCCCGTCCGGTATCCGTGTTCGGTACTTGTTTTTTTTTTTATCAAAGGTACATACCAAGAAGCTACAAGGAATAAATCTAAGAAAGAAGTTTCGCCTGAGCTCGTATGAGTACATATGTAAGTAAATATATCTGGGGTTTAAAGGCGTTCAGACAAGCGCAGCGTTCGACCTGACGGAGGCTGACTGCAGATGACGTTTGTCCGCAGATGAGGAGCCAGGGTCGCGGTGAGCTGCTCGTGTCGCTGTGCCACCAGCCCGCCGCCAACCGACTGACTGCCGTCGTTCTCAAGGCTCGCAACCTGCCCAAGATGGACATCACCGGCCTCTCAGGTCAGTTACCAGACTAGCCGTCTGCGTTATAAGAAAGGGGCTGGCCACTGGACTCATCAGGACTCCCCACTAGGCCAGACTGTTTCCACTGACCAAACATTGACATTATTCGCACATGTTGATGACAGAAATACAACTTACCTACCCAAAACCAGTAACTAACCAAAAAGCGTGAAAACCAAGCCAAAGAATGCAGATTGCAGATAGTGTTTTCGTAAATCGGAGCACAGTCAAAGAACTGTCCGCAGTGAAAACGACAGTCGTCAGTAAGCTCGGCAGAGCTAGGAATGGATCGAGCCGTGGCTCCCCACTTGGTTCGGTGCAAGCACTGTCAGCTACAGAAGGGGCAGAGCGGTCAATCCGCACTTACCCCATTCGCAGCAGGTCTGTGCACAATGGCTGACTGGAGAGGGTCCACTGTAAGGCGCCGCAGAGCTGACAGCTCGCGTCACCTCGGATGGCAGTGGCGAGTATACGCTGTATCGGACAGAGACCGCGTCGGTAACAGGCGAGCCCCTGTCGGTAACAGCTGTTCTGAGTCTGGACGGATAAAGTGGCCGTGTTATACACAGCCCGAGACAGCGGCAGCCGGTAGACACCTTTATGGGAGAGCTGTGCGGTGCGTCAGGCAGCTCAGTGTCTGCCCGGCAGCGCAGACAATGTCAGAGACTATGTCCGCTACTTCGGACTGGACAGAGCCGGTCTCCCATCAATATCCGAAGACTGATCGCAGCAGCAGAAGCCAAATGCCAACGCTGCGAGACAAATCGTTTATTTATCTTCTGCTGACGGGACACTATTGAAACTCCAGGCTCCTAAATTCCTGAAAAAGCGGTGGAGATGTGTACGGGCAACGTTAAAATTAACGCTACAATAATTGTGGTGTACTAAATCTTGACCTACTTAATTTTATATGGTCCATTTCCGAAAGGAACATAAATCGGGATTATTGTGTCGCTATAAATTTTGCTTTAGCTAACCTCTACTGGCCGGCCGACCGGTCTGTCGAATCGACCGGCCCTTGGAAGCGGATTAGAGAGCGCCCAACCGGGATTCGCGGCGCTACTTCAAAGTTTAGGAAACTACACTGTCTGTTGCTGCAGTTCTTGTACAGAAAACCGCCGGCAAAAGTTCCGCAGGCGGTGAAATGCAGACTTGTGCTGCAGCGTAAGTACTCTGGTTACGGCGCCACTGTCTTTATGAGGTGACATCCAAACTACAGCACGGCTTCTCGGAACAATTTGGCTCAACTGGTGCCAACTTGCACCCAGCAGCTGACTGATAAAGTGCCGTCCCATTGCTGCCATTGACCTTCCCCTCCTCTCCCCTCCTGGTGATATCCAGCCCTCAGAGCAGTGGTATGAGTCCCGCCTATGACGCCCAGTGGTCGGGTCCACGGAGAGGAGTAACGGGCAGCCTGTGCTGTGCATGTGGGGCGTCTATATAGTTGGGCCCAGCGGCTGCAGGTCCCCCCTCTCCCTGCGAGGCGTCCCATCGGGCCAGCGTGTTGTGGCGGTCCCGCCTCTGAGACCCGCGGTCGGGCCTAGCCGCCGTAATTGGTGCTAATTAGCGCCAGTCTGCGCCCGCGGCCGATGCATACCCAATAACGCGTCGTGGGCCGCCGCCGCCGCCACCAACGGGTTACCGTGGCGACAGGCGGACTTTATTGGCCTTCAGCGCCCACCGCAGCCCGCGCCGGCCAAACACGAAACAGCTCCGAGCCCCGTCCGAGACAAAACCCCGTTCTGGGTAGCGATGGCTTCTCTCAGAGATGACCGCGCACTCCTGACGCCGCCGCGGTTTCTCTTCGGTCTGGCTTTTCCTGGATTTTTCGCGCCTGGTGTATATCCTGAGTGCGCCCCTGCAGTGTTCCGTAATTGATTTACTGCCGCTGATGGTCACTGACGGGAGATGGATGCCGTGCAAACAGCACCCAATGCGCCGTTATTGGCGGATGGCGCCGGCGCCTATATTACCGCCGCCCCGCATATATTCCGGCAGCATTTGTATGGTAATGAGCGCTATGAAGCATAATTCCCATTTGGTGTGACAGCGTGGCCACATAACAAGGAAACAGCTGTGTGTTGTATCGTGTATTTGGCCGCGATTGAATGAGCAGGTACTTCTTTCATGCATTACACAACTCCGAAAATAGCGAGTCACCTAGTTTTTACAAATGTGTGCGTATTTCTAGTGATATATTGTGCTAAAGCAAAAATCCTTTTGCAGATCCGTATGTGAAAATATACCTAATCTGCAACGGCCAGCGGATCACCAAGAAGAAAACGCACGTGAAGAAGCGCACGCTGAACCCGGTGTTCAACGAGTCGTTTGTGTTTGAGCTGCCGCCTGGCAGCGACTCTCTGACCGGCGTGCGACTCGAGTTCATGCTACTCGACTGGGACAGAGTCACCAAGAATGAGGTAAGGCCGAGTCTGACCCCGATCGAGGGTGGGCCGACGGCACCGGGCCGCCGGCAGCCCACACTAATGGACAGGCCGGCACACGGACAGCACCACACACAGCACGCCAACACGAGATTAACTGGCAAATAGTCATTAGCGGAGTGGTCGGGCGTCCTGCAGCACCATCAAATACGATGTTTAAAATGATGTAAGTTTAAAGGGACTATCCCACCTTTAACATGGGGTTTGAGTTGAGATAGCCAAGTTTGCGGCGAGGTTCAGAAACCACTATCTATCTAGGTTGCAACCCCCGCGGCCTCTTGGTGTTGAAGAAATTCGTTCCCTTCATTTGAAAATGGGCCTTGTACAAGGCCCTATCTTCAACATGGAGCGACCGTTAGTGTGACGTCACCTCGTTTAGTCATTCTGATTTAAATGGGTTTGTTCGTTGAAAAATCGCTTAAAACTTGGTCTGAACTTTGTTGTGGTGCCTACAGAGTAAAAAGAATCAGCTTTATGATAGTAATGTGGCCTGGGGAAGGAGGTAATTTTGGGCTGTGACGTCACATATTTGAAGGTTTGTGTTTGGAATATGGGAAGCCTAAGATGTTTAATGAAAAATAAATGCCAGAACCGTGTTCCTGGTCATCCAATCTATAAAGTCGGGCACAATTTAACTGGTTTTAACAACATTTTAGAAGGTGGGATAGTCCCTTTAAATAAACATGCTGTGTCGACAAAAATGCACATGCGAATAAAATAGAAATTGAAAATAGTACCAAGCACCAACCCTATTGGTTCTGGAGCCAGACCCAACAGAAGGCCACTGCGGTCAGAAATGTCCCAACATATGTCACTCTAAATGGCCATTTTCATTTACAGATGGCACCATTCATTGTAACGGAAGAGAGGGCAGTTTCCATGGTCAATGTAGCCCGAATTTTCCAACTCATCAAATATCCGCAAGTAGAAATTATCTATTTAAAAGGTCACTGAGCGGTTCCTATGCCGCCAACAAATCAGCAATCCAGCAATAGTCCATCTGTATTCTGTATCTACATATAGTTACCAGTGCAGTGGTTTGTCATGACATGACATGACATGACATGAGTCGCATGCAGTTTCTCTATAGTTGCGATGATGCAGCACCGTTTATGCGGAGCGCGGACTCCTCAGATTTCAAGGCTACACTGTACCGCAAGACACAGGCGCGCGGCGGGTTAGCCTACCAGTTCAGGCAGCTTACAGCGGCCTGTGGATTCCACACCTATAGCTGAGCTTCCACGAATGCCGGTCATATTTACACAAGAGCGGTCCATCGATGTGGCCGCTGTTTGCCTTTAGTATAACATCGCTGAGACAGCATCGACTGCTGAGCTAATCGGTTGCGAGAGCTCGGCTCGAGTCGCTTCGACGCTCGCAATTTGATACAGAAAAGATCAGAGCTCAGAGAGCTGAGGGGTGGCTTTTGTCAATGATACTGGTCATATTATATGCCATACTAAAGCGATGAGCGCATCGTTTTGTGCTCACTATGCGGGTACTTCAAACTTGAGTACGAGCATTCCTAAGTTTGGCGTGAGCTAAGCATACTGCCATGTAGGTATCTGGAGTTAAATTATTGTAGTAACGATCATGTATTCAAAATGTCAGCTGGACGAGCTCACCGATAAATTAATGTGCGGTGGAAGCTGTTTTAGTGGTTCAGCATATAGGTACCCTGGTTCAGCGGTGCCGTTCTGGCCAGCCCCCAATGACGTCATTGCCTGTCTCCTCAGGTGATTGGCCGCCTGGAGCTCGGCTCGCCGCCAGCCGAGGGTAAGCGTCTGGCGTCGGCGGCGCACCACTGGTCCGAGATTATCAACTCGCCGCGTCGTCAGATCGCCGAGTGGCACAAACTCACCGAGTGACGTCACACACAGACACAGAGACCGCCGGTACTCTGGTGACGTCACCGCCGTCGGCCGCCGACACCCCGGGCGGCGCCATCCGAGCGGCCCTATCAGACGCACAGTCGCGTCCCGACCGCGCCGCGCCTGCTGCGCCGCTTCTAGTCACAGATGTCCTATTTTCTTATAGAGAGGTATATACCGGTTCGGTTTTTTGTCCATATATCATGCGGCGTGGCCGCTCTCGACCGGTGCCCTGCGCCCCCGGTTGCGGGTGCTGAGGCGAAATGTAATAACCCGGGCGGCCGCTCGCCGCGCCCGGCCCCACTGTATACCCGTTTATGTCGTGTCGCGTGTTTGTCCCTGCACACACCGTCTCGGAGCTCCCGACAGGACAGTGCCAGACATTCCGTTCTCCCGCCACTGTGTACGTGTTTTGTGTTTGTATCCGATAGAACCGCTTCCAATGGCACCAGATTGGATTGAGACAATGTTGTTACCAACGAGAATCGATGTTGGGTTCGATTTTTTCGTAAATTCTGCTGCTTTGTACTGAGAAAAGCGCGCAGTTTGTGTTGGCTTCCGTTGCATAACTCAAATATACCAGCACATTTTAGACTGACACGACAAAATAAATCACTTCCCTCTAGCCTGTTTGCGTTATATCGATTCATCGTCGCCGGTTGAAATAAGAATTGAAGCACCGCCAGCTGGGAAATATTACCGGCAACACAATGGCAGGCGATTGCAGCACGATGTCAATCAGGCGGTCCATTCACTCGCTGATGGAGGCTTCGAGTAGAGTAGATTATCTTCAGACAGGCTGCTGCAAAAATCCTCATACAAAGCCGACGCAGGAACGTCTTCAGATTTCAATGCACGCTGAGAAAGATAATGTTCATAGTCCTCTCTGTTTGAGGGATATTTTATCTTTATCAAAGCCTACCACACGCCATACCTACAGACATCCGCTAATAGCAGTCTATACCGCCTGTCGGTGATCCTACATATTTAGACACCATACGCTTTTGTCCTCTGATCAGATCTGAATTAGCCCGTTACCATACCGTAGCGATTTAAAATGCATAGGTTAATTTAGCTGGGTCCACTAGTAACAATCTCAAAACATTTTTTTTTCCAATAGTTGGTCGGCTTGTGACAAAATGAGAGCCTCGGGTCAATATGAATGGGTACAAATTATTGTTTTGTTTGAGGGAGCCATAAATATTAAATATTTTTATTACACCAGTGAGTGATACGGAGAAACTGTTTCGTATCTAACAAGAAAAAACATAATTCGACTGTTTTGAAAACTAGTTTTAAGTTCATTTATATTTAAATACGGCAGCGTTAGCCTACTCAAGGAACTAGGGCGGTGCAGTTATTCAAAATGTTAACTTTTTAGTTCGGGATATCTCCCTCTGACAGACACCTCTCAGTTACCTTCCAGCTATTCTCATTTTCCTTTCCGGCAAAAGTGAGATTGAATTGCAATAAGAACAACGAAGTCTGGCAAAGTTCCGCCTACAAAGTTTGCAAAGGTCCGACTGGGATGTGATCTCAGACCGAAAAAGACGGATGGAGAACGACAGAGGAAGAAGGAAGGAGAGGAACTGTATCAGGAAATAATTCCCAGTATCATCATATTTTTTCGACTTCACCAGGGAAAAAAACATGGGATAATAACCTACCTTTCCGTCTTCAGAATGGGTGAGAAAGCAGTCAAACATTTCCTTGTATCTATGTCGTTAAGTTGCTGCCTGTTACTAAAGTAATTTTGCCTCTTACGACGGAAAACTCAGGTGGCGCGACTGCCTGCCTCCCATTCAGTGCACAGGCCGGGCAGTTGAAAGAGGCGCGGAAATTGTTCCAGCGATACGGCTTCACTGGATGCGGCGGACCGTCGGCGGTTTCAATGGACCTCCGCTCGACTGTCCGGCGGCGGAAGGTAATCAAATTAGGACCGCTAGGTCTGGTATGGCGGAGAACAGCCGAGTCGTATACGCATGGGGAAGGAGCAGCACTGCTGACCGCCAGCCGCCTTACAATAACACGAGGAAAAGTACTGATCGAGCCTGGGATGATATCGCTCCGACCGGCAGTGCCCTTTAATGGCTATCTCAAGAAAGACCGCCAAAGACCACGATCGACGATTATATGTCAATAATCTGCGTTCATAATACGGAATACGTATCTCATACGCATAACGCATTATGGAATATGCAATCCATACGCATCCCACCGGAAAGGGACGCGTTTGCTCAGACTGCTTGTCACCCTTGCTCAGACTTTACAAATAAGTCCACCATCTGACGCATGAAACACCGACAACCAATCAGTCCATGTTTATCATGTAGCATCGCCCACAACAGCAGCTGCTTAGGACGACTGCCGTCTGACACCATACACCACCTTGACGATAATTCTCGCCCCTATCAGCCATGCAAAGATGTATGTACGATCTCGCATGCACCCATCGTATCTCACCGACGTATCTCACACACGGGCCGATATAAAATGTAAATTTTCCCGCAGCTCCTTCTGCTCCTAAGCCCAGGTCCTTAAACTACTCAGGAAAAAGGAGACCACCGAATAGAAAAATGGTCACCCGTTAAATGAACTACAACGTGAGGGCTTTTCCAATTCAGGACGGACAAAAAAGGACGAGTCTTAGGACGCGCGGATGGACCACGGGCGCCGGCCGACTGCCCAGCCGTGGTTGAGGGTGTGGGGACCAGCCCCACGCACCGGTTAGAGGAGGTGGCCGGACGCCGCGCCGGTCACCAGACGACCTTCTGTTTGCCCGCGGCACGGTCTGATTTTCGACGTCATTTGTTTTGGAACGCCCTCGGTCCGCCCGCTTTGTCTTGGTCCACGTCCACTCCAATCGTTTCCTTTGTATGTTTACTGGAGGGAGCTAGTGCCAAAGGTGAAAACCCCGTCTGAGATGAGCTATATTCGACCGGCCCAGCAATATGTGAGGCAGTAGAGCAATGATACTGGATTGTCGCATGGGCAAAAGGAAAAATCAACCATCAAGTAAAACTGCCGATCGACATTTATGGGCCTCCTGACAGGTATGGTTGCGGTTGGTGGCAGGCCGTAGCCAGGTGAAGTCAGCGAGGGGACCGGCCGTGCGCGGCTTTGTGCGCACGTTAAACTTTGGACTCTAAATTCTGCCATAGAATCGGAATTGCGCGATCGGAGGGTAGAGGGCAGGGTCATCGCAACAAGCTTCGCTTAGCGGTGACTCTGTCCTTGTGAATCCTTCCCATCAAAAGGTTCGGACTAAATTTATAAAAAAAAAGATTTCAACAAGACAGCACAACTTTCGTTTAAAATAATTCATCGATCGAGTGCTCCAGGAGATATTTCTTCGAATGGCATTTTTCTTTCGTTTTCTTTTATTATTGACGGCTTATCATTTCTATCCATTGAATTTAAGTTACAAAATTGTGTTTCATTTTAATAACAGAACGATTAAAAACTCAACAAGCATATAGGAAGACGGTTAATTAACTTAGAATGGATCCAACAAACCAGAACAAGAGGCAAAAAAAAGAAATAAAAACATTATTTTAGGTACATGGAGAAATTGTAACGAATACAACCTTCATTTTATATGCAAGTTGCTATCATAGTTCCGATACATCCAAACTATGATATTTCTTTAATTTATCATCGAAACTTTTTGCAACAAGGTTTGAACAATATCAAAAGGGACGCCGCCTTCGGGTCACTAGAGTGCGGCGAAGCTAGTGATTTCAAAAGACGTCGGAGGCTTTCCACAGAAAACCACAGAATGAAACGGAAACGACGCTTCTATATTCGCTGTGTGGCGCGAATACGCCCAAATATAAGACTCCATTCAGGAAAGGTTGCCGGACTATTCCTTGGGCTAGGGGTGGTAGAGCAAGGCTAGATAAGAGAAAGAAGACTGTGCAAGGGGCCGAATGTATCTGAAAATAAATATGAAATGAATTGAGATTAACCCTGTCACCCACTTCAGCAAGGAGTGGGAAACTTAGGATCCGTCATGATGAGGGCTTTCGTATACCGTTTAGCATATCTCTATGTCATCCGTTCCGACGCTGGCTGGACGGGGGAGCAGACTTTGCCCCATCCCAGGGAGGTGTGAACAGCTGGATAGCGCAGTGGGACACGCGATAAGCGTCACCCTATTTGTGTTTTCATTTCACAGTCACAACTAGCCGCGTCCTGCGCGTGCAGCTCGCTCCGTCCCCGAGACAGTTTGGTTCCCTTCACCATAGATGGCGCTGGTAGTGCGCGCCTGCAGGTAGACTGCACCGCAGGGCCCACGGGCGCGGCGGAAAGCGGCTAACGCACAAACAAAATGAACCGCGTATTCCGAAGATACGAGCAGAAATTGAGTAAATACACCATCGTTCTTTCTCAAACAAATGTTCGGAAGGCAGCGGCAGCGTTTTAACCCTCGCCGGCCGAGGGGGGGGGGGCGGGTGCCGCCCCCCATAGGGTTTTTTCGCGATAGCTCCGAACACGCTGGCGATAGAGAGCTGAAACTTGGCATACCTGACCTTTGATCCAAGCCGCATCTTTTGACACCAACCGCATTTTTGGGTCAGGTCAGGTCACTGACCTATGACGTCATAAGTGAACCTCTGCACGGTCTTCAGATGTCGCAACTTCGCAACGCTCTCACTGCCAGAGGAGATGTCACAGGAAAATGAAACTTGCAGGATCTAGTATCCATTATGAGTCTCACAACTTGTATATCTCGGATTTTTCCTTAAGGTCATATGAGGTCAGGTCATTTTCGTGACCTCACCATTATAAGTCAATGGGGAAAAATGAAAACTGCTATTCTGGCGCCGGGAACGATCTCCAACTATCTCAAGCACACAGAATCGTGATTTGATGCACTCCTTGCAAGGCTAGGTGCGTCACTTTTGCAATGTTGACCTTTCGTGACGTCATTTATGACGTCATCAAGGTCATATTAGTTTTTCGTCAATAACTCCCGATCAAATTGAGCTAGCGAGTCGAGAAAGGCACCAATGGACTCAGGAAGACCTGCCGAATCGAATGATATGCGACATGACCTCTTTCAACCAACTTCGTGACCTGGGGGTGCTGACCTGACCTTGACCTGAGGTCAACACCCTAAGTTGACCTGACCCGAACAAAAAGTATATCATTCGACGCGCCTGAGCGAGGCGAACACGATGCTGCCAAAATCGCGGCTCTGCGGCCGTTTTTTGCGAAGTTATTCACCAAAAACTGAACCGTACCCTGGGGCACTTGACCTGACCTCAGAGGTCACCGGTTGACCTAGGACCTTAAAATCGGATACCAATCTCTGCGTCTCGTAACGGCGCACACGCTCGTTTTTTCCGCGACGCGCTAGCTCCACCAGGGGCGAAACGGCGAGGGGGGGTCGTACCCGCCCCCCCCCCCCCTCGGCCGGCGCGTATGTAGAAAACCGATAGGTCCGGCGAGGGTTAAAGTACCCATGGATAGAAGAGTTTTACTCGAGGGCGGCGACAGAGAAGAGGTGCAGAGACTAGCGGTTGTAAGAAGTGACTTAGGTTAAAATGTTCATAACATGTGCGACGTGCGTTGAGAAGCATAAAGTATGCCAAAATAGCGGCACTGCGAGGAAAAGCACCCCGTCACCCCGCCCATTAGTGTGGCATTTACCAGTGTCCGGGGCCCGAGTGCCGGCTGAGGGGAGCGGTCGTGTGAGAGGAGGGCGCCAATTTCCGGTCAGAGCCGCCGACCGGTCACGCGTGGCCCCACTTACCGTGTCAACGGTCACTGGTGCGCCGCCAGGGTCCGGTACAAAAACCCGCGCGTTGCTACCCACCGCCGCCGCGCCGACTAATATAAATTATACATACCGGCCTGGCCATTGGCTAAGGTCACGCGACAACCAGCCAGGGACCCCCCTCCGGCTCCCATCCCCACACCGCACTTCGCGACACGGAAACTCCTTCAGCAGAATGACGCAGGAGGGCCATTAGCATTTATATAGAATGGGGGAAACGAGGAAACTCGTATTCACGTCCTCGCCATTCCAGACACAAGGAAGCCAGAGATGAAAGAATAACTAAATATTCAACGGAATTGAGTAGATATTGATGATTCGCCATTTTCCGATTTATCATTTTTGTCTTAAAATTAGAAACATGCTATCAATACCTACTAAAGAAAGTGAGTGATGCGAATGCCTCGCGTCAGATAAGTTACGATCAGCGTAAGAGGCTACGTATATTTCTCTCGCATTTCTAATTTCAGCCAAGCCTGTATCAGACTGTGGAATGTCTCAAAATGGGAAGTCAGGCACGTTCATGTAAATGACGGCCACAATTGGTACAATTAGACATGCGCTGTTACAACTTGGATGAGGAAACTCCATCTCGGTTCACGGTCGGGGAGGCGGCGCCTTGCCAATTAGGTTGGCCGCTAGGAGCCACACTGGCCGGCCGGCTCTGTCGGATCGAGCCGCTTACAACTTCCACCGGGAGTAATTACAGCCAGCGCGCGCTGTGTCCGTCCACCAAAATTGGACGGCCACCTGGCACCGGCTGATTTAGAGGCCTGTGCTGCGTCCTCTGTGGTGTACGTACTAACCCCGCTTTTAGGCTGCCAAGACAGCAAAGGACCGCACAAGGATGAGGCAGGCCCATTCCTCTCCATACTCCGGGGTCGCTCTCGAGGCGGGATCAGGAGGGATGGACGGTTCTGAGAGGCACGGGCTGGGCCGAGCGGCCAGGGCTGGACAGCCGGGACCGGGGAAAGATGGGCAGGCCGCACTGAGCGGAATATACGGGCCACCAGTGTCACTGGTCCCCCGAGTCAGCGCAGCGCAGCTGCAGAGCAGAGACACAGCCGGGGCTTTGTGATTTCATTATTCTCAACGGTCATCATTCGAGCTCAGAGGCGCTCTAGCCGCCCCGACCATCCGACGTAGAGGTTATTTAGGAGGGACGGCACAACCGGAATAGTCCTGGAAGGCGGCAGTCGAGATATGAAGGTCGGCAGGGAGAAGAGCGCGGGCGGACAGTCGAGCGGACAGACGGGAGAACGGACGGACGATTGTACAGACGGGTGGATACAGCAACATGCGGCAGGCGGATGAAAAGGCAGGCGGACGGACAGAAGGACGAACAGGTAGTCAGGTGGGCATACAGGCCCGTAGACAGGCAGGTGGACAGAGACAGGCGGCAGCGGATGGAAAGTTATGTGAACAGACGGACAGACAGGCAGGTGGACAGACAGACAGACAGACAGACAGACAGACAGACAGACAGACAGACAGACGGGCAGGCAGCCGACAGACAGGTAGGTGAACACTGGACAGGCATACGGACAGACAAACGGACAGAGGTTATTAAGGCCGAACAGACTGGTGGGCGGGCGGGCAGGTTGCCAGGCAACCATCGCCATGAGGATCGCCGAGCTGAAGGACGACAGCCTTCTCACGGCGAGACGAGCGATAAGCCCGAGCGCGCTCCTTCCGTGACGGGCCGACCGGCCGTTCGTTCAAAGACCTGCGGCAGTGGCTGGTTCGGGATCTGCCGCGCCCCAAACTCAGCCACCGTCGGGCTCGGTGGACCGTCAATGTCCAGACTGGTTTTATCACCGTAACATACTGCTATTAATAAAACACAAATTCGGATAAACATTAAATATGTATTCATATATAATACAGAACTGCATTGATGAATGTTGCTACGAAATCTAAAATTAGATAACGCAGCCCAGCTAATCCAAGTAGGATCATTAAGTACACAGTATGATGTTAAGTGAATAAACAGGCGTGATTAAGTGCCGACGCTCCTAAACTACAAAACACGTAAATGACAAAACGAGGGTGGGTTGGAAACCTCTTCCCAACATAGCCACATGCCGAACTAAGGCTGACGGCTAGAGGTTGCCTGGCAGCTTACCAAGTCAAGTACCTATATGAAGTTAGAGCATTAAAATAATACAGGCCGGCGGAGATCATGGCAATAACTTGTAACGTGGTAAATACACCACCCATTGCACTTCATCGGTGTTCCAGAATCTGACCCAATACGATCGATGCTCAATCGAACGTTCAGTTCATTGAAACCAGTGATTGCGGTCACCCATTAGCTCTGTTCGCTGAAACGCGAGCAATTATGGTCACAATTCAGTTTCGTTCGCTGTACAGCGAGTGTTCACGGTCATTGTTCACGGGCTACCCGCGCAGGGCGGGTCGCTTTGTACCGGCGCGGGCGGGGCAGGGTCGCCACTCCCAGCTGCACATCAGGGTCACCAGCACTGTTGAAAACCCTCCCACCACTGACACAGGAGGAGCACATCTCCACCTTAGTTCGATATCAAGGCAGCATTCAACGCATAGGCACAGTCTGACCAGCATTAGACATATCAAGTAGGTAGCGTATTGCTAATACTGTGCATAGCACCACAGTACAATAACTGGCATTGGTTGATATCGTAAATACTAATGCACATCACACCCGGGTGCCAGCAATGGCAGTCTGACTTTGAGAGCCCTTGAGCTAGTTAATCGCCTCACGGAGCATATCCCAATCATACTGTGCATCGTAAACACAGCCCACCCCACTCCCCCCACGCAACGCACACAAACACACTCACCCAGATACACAAACACCAGCTCGGGTCAGCCTTGTCTTGGAGCTCTTTGCCCTCCCTCAGCCAACTCAAACACAGCCGTCTACGGTCTTCTCAGCCCTAAATAAACACGAACAGAGCGCTTAACTCCACCCGAGTTCTGTACCTGCCGACATATGGCCCACAAACGGCTACTGGTAGAGCGAGTAAAGGACCAAAGCCTCTCCGGTCGTTTAACTGCCTGTGTTGAAAAGAGGATTAGAGCAAACGATTCCACAGCCTGGAAGGGCAGCGTACGGGAAAGATAGAGGCAACGCACCAGGTAGATGAGCTTTCCAGTATATCGAAATTTGAAAACGCTGCTGGAGCACGAGGAACTGTCAGGTTGGGAACGGATTTCAGTCATCTCAGTATACTACTGATTCTGTATTCCTAGGCTAATAAGCCTAGTTAAAACAGACAACCTACGATCAGTCTCTAATGTAAAACAGATTTAAAAACAGCGTTTAACTTATGAAACTTGACGGCTCAGGTCAAAGTTTCTATGGTGTTTGAAACAAACATTTATAATTGCTTTTCGTTGCATCCAATCATATGTTACCGGAACTGTTCGCAGTATCTCCGTTACGGATTTGACGAAAACACGTCATGCTCACACTGCATATTTTTTCGCTGGATTGGATGAGACCCTGACCGGAATGTGACACCCCTCCCAGCTCCTCCCCCCCCCCTCCAACAGCCTGTCATATACCTAAAATCGAACACATTATAGCTGTGAGAAGGCGTACCTTCGACCTGTCGCCAATTGTTCTCATCAGAGAAGACTGGTCGTCACGGAGAAAAGCCGGTCCGTGGAGTCTACATATATCGATAGACAGTACGCGCCGGAAAGGCGTGATATCACTGACTGGCAGGAAATGGCAGTCGTCGGCCGACCTCCTCGAACACGGCGCGCTGGTCGGGGGTCAGCAGCGGCACGTGCTCGGCCACCAGCTCCCGGTGCCAATTAATAAATTATAAGTTGTCATCATCGCTGTGTCATGCCTTATGTGTCTTAAAGCGCCGGAACGGCGCCGCGTATCGACATGAAATTTACTGGGCACAAACTTTGGGTGGGGCGGACCATCGTATCAAAAGATGGGCGCAATCGGACCAGGGGTGCGCCGTCGGCACGTGCAAAAGGGCGCTTCCATAGGGATAACACGCTTCCATAGGGATAACACGGTCCGTACAACGGGCACCTGCACACCGGACTGGGACACTAGGCACCAGGCATCAGGCTGGGAAACCGGGCACCCGTACATTGGGTGAACGGGTACACCAGATACCCGTTTACGCAGGCACCCGTAGTACACCGGTTACCCGTACCCCGGGCACCGGCGTTCGGTCAGTCGAGGTAGGGCAGGATGGCCTCTCTGATGACGGTGATGTTGTGGTGCCACCTGGTGTGGTGTATACCCGGGTACGTGTGCAGTCGCAGCGCGCCGCGCTTGTCCAGCGTCTTGAGTCCGATGTCGTCGGCGCGGTACCCGTGCCGCTGGTGCACGTCCACCACAGTCAGGTTTGCGTCGTAGTACGAGAACTGACTGCGGAAACACGGCGGCAGCGGCCGGGCCGTCACAGGCAGGCTGACTCGGACACACAACATCGCCACTGAGTGCATTGGCGTCAAATATATCTACGTACTCTTGACAAGGTAATTTGCTATCGTCTGACGGGGCCTCAAATAGAAGCTCGATTCCGGTGAAATTAGAATATGTTCTGGAATTGTTTATGTTTGACATGAAGTTAAAATCAAGTTAGCCCGTTAGAGAAATAGTGGGCATCAATGCAGCACTTGTAAAATCGCTGTCTGCTTGATTCTAGCTTGCTATAGCATTGCTAAGGTCATGTTTCGTTGACTGCTATTTGATATACCTAGCATTTACAAAGCGTTGGCATCGAGTCTAGCCTGACTGAAAGCTGAGTTACACGGCCATAAACTTGCAGCAAAAGGTCGAATCTTTTATGTCCTCATTTTTCACTCGATCGAGATCATTAATATCTGAACCTAAATTTCACGCTATTTATGCATATTGGCAGAGCCAATTTACCACCATCTACCCCCAGAAATGAGGCAATTATGTGAGCCTCGCGATGCTGAGCGTCGAACCATGCAGCCGCGTGCCACAACTCAGTACGTGCACCCGAGCAGGTCCTCCCTGCCTGGATGGCCGGGTGCACAATGGTGACGCATTGACCCCATGCGCGTAAACAAGTCGGTTCCCCGTAAATGCTAATGTGGGAGGCATGTAGCACACGATCCCAACTAGAGAGCTCGAGTTCTTTAGGAAGTCATCAACAGAGCGGGGTGAGTAGGCCGTATGACAAAAACAGCATTAGCTCTGTAGAAAAAGTACCGCTCCGGGGCGCAGTGGCGCCACCTGCAGCGGCTCCTGGCAGACTGGCCGATCAGTGCTGAGATGAACCCAGAGGAGGCCTGATCAAAGAGAATGAGGGTAGGTGGACTGAAGAAAGTCGAATGGCTGAGATGGGTCGGAGAGCTGAGAACTGCAGATGACCGGTAGACTGAGGAGGTTCGGTGGACTGAGGACAGTTGGAGAGCTGAGGGCAAGTGATGAAAGTTGGGCAGCTGGTGACGGTCGGAGTGTTATAGACAGGCTGAGCGGGGTCGGAGGGCTCAGTACGCTCAGAGGGCTGAGGGTCAGAGGACTCAGAGCGGTCGCATGAGGACGGGTCCGCCGCGCTCACCTGCTCTGCCACGGAGTGATGACACCGTCATCGGGACCGCCGATCAGCACCAGCCTCTGCAGTCGCAGCAGGTTCCGACGGTAGCGCTTCGAGCTGTTCGAGAACACCTGGCGACGTAGCCGCACGGCATGTCGTAAGAAAGATTAGTGCAGATAGTGACCAGCTTTTCATCAACAGATTTTACCGAATCATTGCTTGTTTTCTGTACGTAAAGCGAGTAAATATCTAGTGTGGACATTTATTCAAACTGAACGTCGAATAATGGAAACCCATGGCACGCGTGTTCACCCTCTACTGGCACCTCTGCCGATCATCCCTCTATCCCCTCACCTCATTGTCCAGGGGCGCTAGGAACTGGCTGTACTTGAGGTAGGCGGCCTGCTCGCGCGGGTCGTTCCAGTAGTTTCCGACTGAGGTCAGCTGGCCGAACCTGCTGTAGAAGAGTCGGAACGCCTCGTCCCGCACCGCGCCCGGAAACACCAGGTGCAGGAACCCATCTGAGGGAGTATTACAACGAGTCAGTGGGTGGGAAAACTGGATGGAGAAACCCATTTAAAAAGCGTTCTTTTGATAAGGAAACAAGGCTGCGTAGGAGCAGTATTTAATCATGCAGCTTTCAGCATTTCTTCCGCCATGCATTCTTTGAGCACTGTGGCCTACAGTCCAGTAAAGTCGCTGACTCCAGTCTTTCAAATTCAGTTCGGTACGCCGGTCACCAAACTCGACCGGCAGACGTCACTGAATACCTGACGAGTCACGACAATATTGCATGATACATTCTTAATATCAACAAACTGATTTGTAAGCTACCGCTACCTAATACCTACCTATCCACCTTCCTAGACCTTCCTCCGCAGGTCAGTCAGATGCACCAGTAGCCCGGTCGGTGGATCGCAATGCTCACCTCCAAACTCGCCGGTTCCCACGCCCGAACTGCCCGGCCTTTGGTTCTCACCCCCCCCCCCCCAAATGGCCGGTTCTCAACACAGAAAATTGCCGGTTCCCACCCCTTAACTGTCCAGCCTTCGGCTCTCACCTCCGAACTGGCCGGCCTGCGGTGAGCTGAGTGATATGAAGCTGCTGAACGGGTGGTTGTCCCAGCTCTGTACCACTCCCCGAGCCACCAGGCCGCCCTGAGAGTAGCCTGTGAAACCAGCGCATTGATTATGGACCCGCAATCACCACCAGAAGCAGAGTAGCAGAAATGGCATCGGTAATAATCAGGATAATGGATTAAAGGAGAAGATCGTGCTAGGAGTCGATTGTTAACCCGCGCGGGGCTGGGGTCTCCAGCCGAACGCGCGGGGCTGGGGGTGGGTAAATTTTACCCCCCCCCCCCTGTTATCTCCCGAACTGATGGTCCGATTTGGAAAATTCAAACGCCAATCGAAAGATCTCATCACGAACAACTAAAAACATGTACTTAATTTAAAGTTTGAGCCTTGAGGTCAAGGTCAAGGTCAGGTCAAGGGTACAAATTGCAAGTTTCTACAGTATCGGCCTTGCACCGTAGTTGCCGAAGAATGGACTGAGACTGATTGCCCAAAACGTGTTCTTAGGCTACCAAGACAATATTCGCTGCATACAATATCATTCAGAGGTCAAGGTCAAGGTCAGGTCAGGTCAGGTCAGGTCAGGTCAGGTCAGGTCAGGTCAGGTCAGGTCACCAAAAACAAAATATAGAAAAGGGCATGTGCGACACATGCTTTATGGGTCATTTTATTCATAGAATTCAATGGGCACACTCAATAGGTGATATGGACCACATCTGGATGAATTTTAGGTCGAGGTCAGGTCAAGGTCAGGTCAAGTAAGGTCAAATTTTGAAGTTGGTTGTTAAGGCCTAAAAAGGTGTCTATCTGATGCAGTTTTTCACGGCGAATCGAATGGTGCTATTTTTGTTTCCGTACGAGGTCTAGAACTTCCCAAAAATTCATTTTTCAAAATTTTTGTGTGTCGTGACGTCATGAAATTTCTAATAACTCCCACATTTTTGAACCGATTCTTCTAAAAATTGGTATGTAGGTGCACATAGACCACGTCTCTGACATAAATTCCGGTTTTTTCGATACACTCAAAATTTTTGATTTTATAATTATTTTCCCAAAAAAGTCAGTTTTTTGAAAAAAAGTTTGGCCAAAATCCAAAATTTTCAAAAAAAAACGAGATAGCCATTTGATAGACAAAGTAGAAATACGTTTAACCTTTTTTGTTACGTCTTGATTCCTTTAAAAATGAAGATGTTAGCGGCGTTTGAAATTTTGCCGTTTTTTAGGCGAAAATGGCGAACATGACGTCACTAAAACGTCAATTTCTCAAAAATTTTCCGACGGATTTCGCTCAAATTTTCAGGGAACGTGTCAAATTGATGTAAGAAAAGGTACTGAAAGTTTGGCGGCGCTGCGGAGTTATTTACCAAGTAAATGCACCTCTTCAGTCCTGTTGTTGATGAGGCGCTCAATCTCTGTGCGAAATCCCTTCACCTGCGTCCAAAGTCGCTCCAGACTTCGGTAGTTGGGGAACAGGTTCATGTTGTGCACCTCAGTGCCTGGATGCGCCTGTGAAAATGGTGGTCACTTTGATGGTCGATTAACTAAGGGAAAGGTGTCTGCTCAGCTAGTGAACCTAATGAGAACTAGAAGAGTTGAGCGCTGCATGGCTGTGACGCTGTCACCGTCACCTCAACTGATATTTTCTCCTTAGTTTAGCCATCCTTGAGCCATGATGACAGTAGGAGAGCAGGACTGGAGCACTCCATGGCTGGGCATACTCAACCCTAAAAAGGTGCACATACGACATATAAAAATAAAATCTACTTTGTGTGGGACCGGGGTCGGGGGCTCTGGGTGCAGTTTTTCGAACTTCACGTTGAGGGATTCTACTATGGACCGGTACAACTGATTAAGCCTGAAGCGGCAGTCTGTCAACCACATAAATTAATAGTACTTACCTATTAAAGCTCTCTCACACCTAAAAATAGCACTAATTCAAATTATTAAATGACATCACAGCCAATTTATGCCAAAAGAATGTAAATCCAGATCAAAAGTGAGATACTCTAAATAAAGTTTGGACTCCAAATACAATCAAATTTCAAACTTATTATTATAGTATTTCAGAAAAGGCACTAACGTCAATGTCAAGAAAAAAGCAGCGTTGCTTCTTGTGTTTCTGACCTGCCTTATGTAGTCCGATAGGTATTCAAGTGACCCAGAGTCACCCATCACTCCATGTATCATAAAAACAATTTTGTATCCGTCAATATGCTGAAATAGAAGCATAAAAACGTAAAACAAGGAGCTTAAACGGGCCATTTTCACAAAACAAAGGTACAAAGCATGTTATTGTTTACATAGAATTATTTTGTAGACATTAATGGCGAGCACGATACAAAGAGCGATTGTCTGCTTATATTGCTGCAAAAAAAAAGATAGAGAGAAACCGTCTATTTGATATTGCTGCCACTCCAAACATTTTAGCAATTATAGAGCATTTCAAACCGAAATGGAGCTGAATGATCCTCGCCGTTCAGTTTTTAGCCCCCTGACGAATGTTTTTGATATTTTCCGAAGACATATGAGCACGAAACTTTTCGTACCCAGACGGCATACCCCGAAGTTTCTTCACCCAAGCCCCTCGGATTTCGATTTCTTATGCGCTGCTGTTCCATCGAGAGGGGACATTTGCCCCCAATGACCCACTTCATATCCACTAGTGAATACCTAGTGATGTTGCTGTGACAAAAAAAAAAGAAATTTACCTATAAAAACGTTTTATTCAGTACGTAATAATAAACTGCATAGTACCTAGCGTCGCTGCGAGTATGGTTACCAAGGGCCGGGGGCGGCAAGCGGTGTGATAGGAATGCACGCTTGATATGAAACGAATCGTACCAATACCCATACGGCAAACATGAACACCCCGAGCATATTACAATCTCTAACAGTTAACTGCTAATGTAAACTATTTCATCACGATCGCACGTCGTCAGCCAGCTCTTACGTCACAACCCCTTCCTCAGCATACTTGGTAAGCAAATGGAGAGCAGCAGCAACAAGACGGAGTATTTCTGCTGTTTCTTACATAAATACATGCAAGACAACCCAATATCACGACAGAGAAACGACGAAACGCCTGAAAGCGAACATTTAGAAATCCTATCGAAATTGAGCTTCTCGCGAAAAGTCAGTGATCATTATAGGTAGGTACACTTATAGTTCGGCTACACCAACGCTGGTCATTCGGTGTCCAAAAATGGCAATCAAGTAACGAACAAAGACGACTGTTACCTAACATAGTCATGTCCGCATGCGTAATCTCAGTAGAGCAGTGTACAACTGCTCTATTTGCAAAATCACTGGTCTCACACTGACACCCGGGCCGAAGTCACTGGTCCACCGGCGAGAGAAGCTCCGTCCCCGCGGCGCGGCACAATTCACAGACACTGACTCGCGGGCGGCCGACGCGGCGCACTAGCTGGCCTCCTCCTCCGACACCTCCAGTATCGTGTTCAGGTCCTTGGTGATCTTACCGAGCAGCTCGCGGTGCTCAGAGTTTCGCGCAAACACCGCGTCCAGAAAGGTGGGCTCGCGGAAAAACTCAAACACGTGCTCCACTCGCGCGAGCGTCTTGTCCGTGAGGTGGCGCTCCACCAGACTGGAGAGCATCGCCTTCAGGTCCAGCAGGCTCTTGGTGATGAAGCTGCGGTCGTAGCTGAAGTCGATCTGGTAGAAGCTGATGATGGTCATGCAGGTCATCTGGAACTTGCGCTGGAACTTTGCGGCCAGCACCATCTCGTCGTGGTCGAACTGCTCGTTACGGTTCAGGATCCCCACCTTGACAACCACCTTGATGAGGTTCTTTATGACCTTTTCAGACTCCTTCTTGTTCCCCGTCTGTCGGCAGAAAAAAACATCAGTTATTATTCAAGTGCAGAGGAGAAAGAAAAAATAGCGCCGTTTCAGCATCTTTAGAAACAGCGACAGGTTATTTTTTATCTACCTACATACGGAGAAGTTGGGTCGAACATCGACGCCAGTGACCTCGATGTATTCAAGCTGTGGGGCATTACAATGCTTGATTAGGTAAAACTTTCTGGACATCTGTTAAATACGATTAAGAAAAATATGCTTGGTTTGGTTTCTTTTGTGGTTTCAACAAATGAATGCGAACGATTTCGTTTGAATAAATACCTACCAAACTCAGTTAGAGCCGCCCGTTATTATTTCACTTGAATGATATTTCAACAAGTTGTCAGAATTGAATTGAATAATGGTCAACAATTTAGCCATACAGAGAGCAAAACCGTTAAAATGGGCGATATTCGCAGAAACTATTTTCTTTTTAACAATAACACTTTACTTCATCATTGCATGGTTTTTATCTCACTGCCATCGTGCTTCTCTCGTCGAGGCGCGTCGACTTTACAATAATTTCAAGATACCTAACTAAAGACCCCATGTTTTAAAATTTGATGAAAGGTCAGGAGCATGACCTCACCGGATAAGGTCAAAATTGGTCGAGCTACATATCTGTATATCCGAAACTGTTGAAACATATCTAAGATAACACCGTCGCCCCGGTCATGTCATTATTAAGTTTTGTTTTAGCTGATTATCTTTAGGTAAACGTTACAGGACCTTCAAGGAATCATTGCAGGGTTGGAGCTTGGAAGTGAAGTTTTTCGAAGTGCAGTATCCAGTGAACACCTAATTAACTATCGATATAGGGCGGAGACTTCCATTTCGCGTCTAGCTAGACGCGATATGACGCGTCTAGCTGGACGGTGGCTGCGTCTAGCTGGCGACGGCTAACTTTTGACGTGTCTAGCTTGGAAGTCTCCGTCCAACAGGACGCAAAGTTAGACGCCAACTTGGACGTCTGCTCAGTAAGACGCCAGTTGGACGCCAGTGGAAGTCTCCACCCATAGAGATTTAGCACTCGATGGATTTATCAATTGTTTACATGCATCAATTCAAACGTTTCGTCATCCAGAAACGTTTCGAATGAGTCTAACAGCTACGATAGCGAGTGGTTTTACCGATAAGGTCTCATCATCAAACATATATTTGATAGCACTTAAACAGGGCAATCGGCTGATAATAAACGCCGATAACGGTGCAAAGTGTTACGCGGTTCTGAGCCCTGAGGCTTAGATGAACCGCTCGAATATTGTGCATTCACAGTTGCACTGAGGCTTAGATCAATTGTTCGAATATTTTGCATTTACCGTTGCATGTCGAGATGTTACACGTATGATGTTATGTGAGCATCCAAGAGGACATAAGCAGTTTACTTTTTCCGAGGCCTGGCGAGATGTTGATCTTTAACATAAACATTGCAAGAGTTTACATTCCAACCCCAGTAGGTATACAAAGTTAACGTGCGGTTATATGTGCGGACTAATCCACCCACATGACACTTAAATTCGTTTTTAAGCGATTCGGCTCGAAGTTCAAATTGAAGCATATCGAAGCTGTCACATGAGTTTTGGCAACTTCTGAGTCTGCTCAACAAATTTTTACCGTTACAATTTACATTCTCTGTTTGTGCTCGGTAAATACCCGGATGTTGTGTGTGCCAAAATGAGCATACTATGATGACATCACTGGATGCAGCTGGTACTCAACGTCCGAACGATGGTATAAAGTGTCAACGCTTGTTATGAAACCCTTGTTGTTCAGTGTCACTAATGTCAATATCGAGTAAGCGCGGTTCTGTCCATGGCAGTGATACAATACATTACACAGCAAACGACGTCATCACCATTCAATATTTAGTCCCGAAACGTACCGATGGAATTAACCGGGAATAATTCACATGTTTGAGTTAGGCGAGGCTCAAATTTGTTCAGGTTGGATTTTGCCCCTTTCGCTGAATAAAGCGCATAGTAACTCTAATTTCGATTGACGAAAATGTACTTAGAATTAACCCTAGAACGCCTAGGGGGGGGGGGTTGTATCAACCCCCCCCCCCCTGAGGTTTTTTCGAAGTGCACGCTAAACGGCTTGTCGTAGCGGGCTGAAATTTTCAATACCCTCTGGGGCAACCTTTGCGCATCTTTTGCCGAAAAAAATTGATCGGGTCATGTCAGGTCACGGAGTTATGACGTCATAAGAGGTACAGCCTCCGGCCGGATTTTCACAAACTGAGTGCCAACGCCCGAGGTTTCCTGCCGGTGGTACGGACATCGGTTGATGGATCGTGATGAAACTTCCCATGCATGTTGGGGCAAGTATTAGCTATCATATGGTATAAGAAATTTGACCGGGTCAGGTCAGGTCACGGAGCTATGACGTCACAAGAGGAACAGCGTCCGGTACTATTTTTGAAAAGCGCCCGAACCACTATTTTGCTAATTCTTGTCACCTCAATGGGAATATGCAGCAATATTAGCTTCTATAGGGAGCAAATGGACCTCCCAAATCCAAAAATACAATCAGATTTCAAAAATTTAAATTTTGATTTTTCGAATTTCTGCCGCCGACTGTGACCTTGCCGACTTCCGGCGCTCCCAACGCGCCATTTTTAGAGCTAGGGAAACGAAATACATACCAAACGATAGAGAATTGATCAAGGAACACGATAGTGAAGGTTTCAAGTCGATATCTCCCACCGTTTTGCCGCAATCGCCGCCGAAAGTTGAAAAAGTCTATTTTTCCGAAAATTTGACCTTTGACCGGTCAAAAGTAGGTCAAATGTTGACCTAGGACCAAAAAATATACCACCAATCGCGAGATCTCGTTGAGAGCAATCCGTTGGTTTTTTCCGCTAAGCTCTACGACCTTCCGTTTCGAAACGCCAGGGGGGGGGGTCGTAACAACCCCCCCCCCCCTGGTCGTTCGTGTTATGAGAAATGGCCTGGTCGTGCGAGGGTTAAGACCCGACTTATTTTTTTGTAAGAACTCCAGCCATCAACATCAAGAATGGCCTACTCTCGAAAGTACTTGTTGAAAACTGATGAACGTTTGCATTTCGAGCATCCCTTCAATTCGAGGTGCTAACTACAGAGGAGACTGCAGCAGCGCTTCACGACAGCTTACCACGTTCTTGCAGAGCCTGTAGAGGTTGTCCAGGATCTGGCTGGTGGCGTCATCCAGCATCGTCTTGGCGACGGCCTTGTTGCTGATCTTGCTGGCCAGCTTTTTCTGCACGCGCAGACCGATGTCTTTGGCGCGAAACTCGCTCATGGTGCCGGCCGTCGGAGGCCGACCGAGGGAGCTGAAACGGACGAATGGTCCGGGGTCAGAGGCGAGGTCGGCGAACGGAGCGCAGAGCCGGAGCGGCACCAGCCTCCGGCGCGCCGCTAATCGTATGCCGCAGAGAGAGTATCCGAACAGAATAATTGATAACGATCCGGCACGGTGGGCCGCAGCGATAAGGCGGAATAAATGTTTGGCGGAATCAGCATATAAAACAGTTAATAAGTAGATCGTGAGGAATGGTAATGTGAAATGAATTGGAGCACCAGAGTTCTTTCGGCGTATTATCTACAGTCTACACGGTTCTTTAGCCACAGGGCCTTTATCAGGATACCAGGAAACGCAACGTTCTACTTCTACGATCAACTCTCTTTAAACGTTTCCATAGCCACAAGCAAATCGCACATATCCTTCGACAGTAGGCAAATCGTGATTTCTCCTACTTTAAAATCATTTGCGCGCCCATTTTAATAACTAATGGCCAACAGCAGCCCGGGTACAACACGGGTCAAGAAGTGCGTTACGAGATGGAAACCATGGTTTCATCCGCTATCTTCGAGTGCCGCCACCTGTAAAAGCAGCGTCTGTATTGGTGGAATGGTACCCCGATCGCGAGGCGCGGACAATGCGATTATTTTCCTCGTCCTCAGACCTTGTCACCATCCCAAATGCGGCGTACGTACCTATATCGCTAATGTCTGTGTGTTTGTTGGTACCGGAAAAGGGTCCGCATTGGGCCTCCGGGGGTTTCCGGCCCTATATCAATGGCTCAATGTAGTGAATCCTGATAGCGCGTGGTTTCGTCCACCAGCTCACCCAGTTGTAATGCCGGGACGCGTTTCCACAAAAACATTCACTAATGGACGCAGCCGAGGTGTGTTTATCGCATTAAATCAACACCTAGATAAAAACGAGTAAGTGAGCAATGACGTTACCGTCGTTACCGTAACATCGGATTCCTATCAAGGTCGCAATGTCCATTGTCCATACCACATATAGCTATTGCCTTATAACAATTTGCACGTCCTCTCAGCCCCACCGCCTCTGCTAAGTGGGTATCCCCATTCCCCTAGCTCTAGTTCGCCTCGCCATGGTAATCTAGTGGGTAGAGACCCGATCTCGGTCCCCTCACGGTCTCTACTCTCTTCCTTGTCCGCCCCGCCCCGCCCCTGCCGGAGTGAGTGTGGTCTTCCCGGCTGGTAACGGGCCGAATTATAGGCCGCTACGGCCGACAACATCGAGAAGCATCAGAGGGTTGCCACTGGTAATGGCAGAGAAAGGGTTACGACTGTCTAATACCCCTGTCCCGGCAGAAGCTCATCGGCAAGATCACTCAGCCCTCACACTTCACCTCTAAGCCGATACACCCCACCTGGCACCTGAGTGCCTGACCTCCCGGCCGACCGTCTCACCTGGTGACCTCGTCCCACCGCGGCGGCCGCCCGGGTCACACCGTCTGCCCGTCTGACCCCAGCGCCGTGCCGTCTACCCTCCAGCAGTCGCCTCAAAGGGTCATTGATCACAACGCACTACAGGGAACCCAATCAGAGAAGATGTGAACTCTGACTGATCCCGTGAAATTCCTCACAGAGGCAGCCGCTAACGGGGCGTCGCTAAGGCGATAGCGGATGGTTTAGCGACAGTGCGGCACGGCACGATAGGCGACAGCACGCTTCGACAGTCGGAGTCAGTTCACATCTGAGACATTCGGCGGGATAATTGGCTCGAGCCGTCACAATGGACGCAGGCTCGTCAGCGCTACAGGTGGAACTGGGCGCGCGCACCACTGAGTGCCAAGGGCGAGATGCAGACTGTGGAAGATGGCGGACGGCAGCGCGGCTTTCCGCGTATTCCAACCTACACTTACAAATCACACGTTTACCTATACTAGCGAGTAGCGAGCGAGGTGGTATACGACGCCACGGCCACGCTACTCAATTCTTGACAGACAGTATAATTCGGACGCGACTAATGCAGAACAACCAGCCGTGATTCCGCTCCCAAACGCCACACAGGACTCTGCCGAGCCAGTGATACCGGCCGCACATCACCGCATACAGGGCTCCAATCACCTCAGCTACCAGGCCATACCTAGAGGTCTCCTATATCCAATCCACAGTGCTCCTATCCACTCGGCTACCGTGCGGGATAACCAGCAGTGCAGTATCGTGTTGCAAGGCGTGCAACTGCAGAGCCCAGACAGGTCGGCACGAGCCGGCAATCCGAGAGCTCCGTCGCGTGTTGGCATGACACAAGATGGGCCACACGACACGACGAACAAAACAATGCAGGCGTGGGGATTCTCAGGCTTAGGCAAGCGCGCCTGAGCCACGCGAGAGGGGAGACTGTCGGCAGTCAGCTGAGGGAGAAGTTAGTCTTCCTCGCTGAGACAATCCGACGGTTATGAATGCTTAGTATAGATGATAGCTTTTTACTTATCCGATATCTTATCTATTCGTCGGAGTAATGATAATTAGGTACTGGACATGTCCTTATAGCCTGGAAGTCGGGCTGACCCATTCAGAGATATATGTTAGCACAGATAAAGCAATCCAACTAGCTGACATTTTTAGAGTTCATCGTCCTTCACTTATCGATTATCGGCACTCTGTGGGGCATGCGGCACGGGTAGGCTGAAGTAGAGTGCGATGCAAGAGTCACGAACATCGTCGGATTAAACTCTCCAAAGGAAGTTTAATCCGACAAACTTTTAATCCGACAAAGATCTGGAGCAAATGATAAAAAATAAAAATTGACGATTACATCTTCATTATTCGTATGGGTATTTCCAAATATCAATCTAGGCCGCGAGGAGTGGGAGAGTCATAAAATGATAATAAATTTAAAAGGAAAAGAGAAAAACATGGAATATATACGATTACGTCATATGGGCTACCATGCAGTCGCCTCACATCGCAACGTATTCGTACCAATATACATATTAATCAGCGCCAGCTGGCGTTACTGAGTGATAACCGTTCTGACGGTCACACTGTGAAATGGGGCGTGATTTCATGGCCACCGGGCGCCCTCGTCCCCACACGTCAGCTCGCGGTCTGGCCCGTCACGCTCGGTCACGTCACGGAAGTTTAGTCCGAGCACGTCCGTCCATGTGACGTCCGTGGGTGACCGTGACTGTTGAGTGACATGATTGTGTTGAGCTGCGACAGCGTGCGGTCAGCCGTGGTTCAGCTGCCGTCAGCTGTGGTTCAGCTGCCGTTAGCTGTGATTCAGCTGCCGTCAGCTGTGGTTCAATTCCGGTCAGCTGTGGTTCAGCTCTGGCAGGCTGTAGGCAGCGGTCAGCTGTGACTCAGCTCCGGCCAGCTGTGGACTGTGGATCAGCTTCAATCAGCTGTGGCTCAGCTCCGGTCAGCTGTGGACTGTGGCTCAATTCCGGTCAGCTGTGGCTCAGCTCCAGCCAGCTCCGGTCAGCTCCGGTCAGCTGTGGACTGCGGATCAGCCGCGGTCAGCTGTTTGTTCCCGGCTCAGCTGGGCGCGCCTGACCCTCCGCCCCAGCCGAGCTGACCGGCTCCACATTCCCATCCGCTGACGTGTCCCGCCCCGCGGCTGACCGGAGCGGCCGGCTCGGTGGGATGGCTCGGGACGGTGACGGAGCTAACACCAACTCAGACCGCAGGAACAACAGCTGAGGCCTCTCCGTCCGCCGCACAGTCGGGTATCGCCGCGCTGGCCTGACCGGCACGGCGGACCGGCCCGCTCAAGGTCACCGGACGGCAGTTAGACCACCAAAGTGGGTCAGCCAGCGCGTGTGGGCCGGTGGAGATCACCCCAGACCATCCCCGCCCCGCTGGGTGATCCCGATCTGCCGAGTGCGAGCGGCGCCGGCGGTCGGCGGCGGCTCACGTGCCGCGGACCGGCCCAGCTGACCGCCGTCGGCCAACGGCCAGGGGCTGTTCAAACGCGCCGCGCCGGACTCACCTTGAGGTTGCCGGCGGCCCGCTGCCGGGCACCGGCCGGTTCAGCCGCCGCGTCCCGGCGACACCGGTGGGCTGCTGCCGTTGCTCGTCTCTCCACCGGCAGTCTAAACACCGGGAGAGGTGTAGATCTATCGCCACCCACCGCTGCAGCCACGTGTCACGAGTGCGCAGCGGCTCACCCGCAATCAAATCCCGAGTCGACTGCGGGCGGGCGGGGGAACGGGACCGAGCCGACACGGCCGCCGCCGTGCCTGCCACCTGGCGGCAGCGCCCCCAACCTGATCGGCGGGCGCGAGTGAGAGGCGGGGCGGGGCGCCGGTGAGCTGAGCGGGACAGGCGGCCGGGCCGGGACCACAGGAGGCGGCGCCCGGCCGGCCGGCCGGCCTCACCGTCTGTCCAGTCAGCACCTGGCGCACCAGACACCGCGGCAGTCGCCACCTGCGGCTTCCGAGAACAGAGATCCGAGACGGACGGAGCGGCGCGAGCTGGAAGGGGCGGCCGAATAATCGGCACGCCGTACTGGTCATCAGCGTCGCCACGGGGAGGGGGCAAGCGGGGCAGCTTGCCCCTCCCCCCAACCTCGAACCGGCACCCCTGAGATCGAAACAGATCTGATGAGATTTTGGAGTCGAGAAAAAATGGGGGGGGTACCTTTCTGAGAATGCCTGCGAGGTCGGACCCGCTTGGAGCGGGCAGTTCAAGCCTGAGTCGGAGTCGGAGTCGCCAAAATCTTCAAGACTCCTACCTAAGACTCGGAAATGTCAGTGCTGTGATTCATTCCATGTTCCTAGCTAATTCTTGATTACATTTTATAGCCGATTTTCATAAGTTTTGAAGTGCTGACACAAAATTTTCGTTTACATCATTCGGTTGTGTCACTCAATCCGTTTGCAATAAGTCGCTGGAATTGTGCGGCTATTCGAACGACTATTTGATACAATTGTTAATTTTATAACAACACAACTGCTGACGAGTGACGACGCTATCTCATATCGATATATATATATATATATATATATATATATATATATATATATATATATACTCGCTGTGTGATAGCCAGCCTCTAGTGCCAAGACTCAGGCGCGGATACAAGGGGGGGGGGCCATGGGGGCCATGGCCCCCCCTTGGCCGATTTTTTTCAAAAATAGAATAAAAAGTTAAAAAGTTAAAAAGCTGAAAAGGGGGCCTCCTGAAAATAAAGTGGCCGAAATCCGATGAGTTTTTTTTTAACCTACCCACTTAGTTATTTCTTAGAAGACTAGCTGAGAAGACTTCTTTGTTAGAAGATTGGTAAAGCTTTTCATAACTTGGAGGTCTCTTATACTCACAGAGATGACCACTTTTACAGGGCCTCCTAACCTGCACAGAGGGCCTCCAAGCCTGCACAGATGTTGAGATGTTGCCTGAACAGCTAGATAAGCTCAATAGACGCAGTTTTTTTTTGGGGGGGGGGCCCAACAAGTGGGAAGATGGGGCCTCCAACAGGTGGGATTATGGGGGGGGGCCTCCTGGTTTCTAATGGCCCCTCCCTTGGAGATTTTCTGGATCCGCCCCTGCCAAGACTGTAGATCTCCATGTATGGTGTTTCTGTTTTAGGTGTGTGATGTCAGTTATTTTTATCTGAGGCGCCTCAAGAAAATAGGCCCATTCACATACGATGGATGATAGTTATAAAACGTGTCAATTTTGAATTTTGAATGTTATTCCTTTTATGATCGAAGCTACGATACGATTTCGAATGTATCATTTCTATGTAATTGTGATTGTTTTGCTATGCGTGTCCGTACCTATAATGTCTGAAGATGTTAGCAGGACTAACGAAACGTTACATGTAAATATAGGTACCATTCTCCAATGTTTTCCAGAAGATGACAGAAGGATTGTTAGAAACATAGAGACTACTCGGAAGAAGCTCATAAATGCACAATATGCTGTCTTGTTTAATGAATTTTGCATATATATATATATATATATATATATATATATATATATATATATATATATATATATATATTCTTTGAGACAAGTTTGGTTGAATACGATCGCGTATTTGTTTTTTATCACTTTCTTTTGAAGCTTTTCTTTCTTTCTTATCACTTTCCGGTCAGTTTCTGGCAGCTGGTGTAAAGTATCTCCAATGTTCATACATGCATTATATTGATTTACGTTTTGCGACGCGTTTCGAAGTACTCACTTCGTCATCAGGCATTTACACTTTACACTCTCATCACATTTAACACTTACATTATATCTAAGTTACTTCATACATTTTTGTTGACCTTAAAACAAATGCGATGTGACCTATGTCAAAATTCAGTGCACGGTTGTTCGATTCTAGTTCGAAAATTCAAACGTGCTGCTTCCATCATGCAACATCTCCATCTACTACCACCGATCTAGCAGATACTAACGTATCAGAATGAACGAAATGTCTCGTTCACTATACACTGAACAGTCCCCTCCCCCCCCCCCCACACACACTTCACCATCACCTCCTATCCTGTCAGCGTGATCCGTCCCCTGTGTTCGCGCTGATCACACATGGACGGGCAGTGTTCTAGGATGTAGGCGGCCTCGAGGATCCTCAGCTTCCACATGTTGTTCTCCCTGTCCAAGATGCTTGTGTTGTCCACCATGTCCTGTCTTGTGATGCGCTCACCGTGGGCACGCTGGGAGTGTTCAGCTGGACCACCCGCAGACAGATGGTATGAGAGTCGGCGGGACAGGGTCATCGTTGTGCTGCCTATGTAAGACGATGTGTCTCGGAGCTTGCAATCTCCTTTTTGACAATTGTATTTGTAGACAACATGCGTCTCTTGCAGGCAGCTTCTTTTGGGGCGGTTACAGATCACCAAATTGGATGTTTTGGGGCTCTTGTAGTATACGATCAGTTTGACTTCATGCCCTTCCTTTGGAATCACATTTTTCTTCAAAATGCTCTTCAACACCTTCTCGTCACTCAGGTAGGCCTCATTCATCTGGTTCATGTAGAACAGCTTGTGAACTTGCGACTTGGGTTTGGGCTGGTCTTCACCTGTCATTTCTCTGCCGTTGGTGTGTGACTGTCTCGCTTGGTATTTGTCCAGTGTTGATTTGACTTCGGCATCAATGTCTGTACAGGAGTAGCCGTTGTTTACTAACATTTGCTTGACATGTTGAAGCTCTTGGTGCACTAGCTCCCATGTGCTACAGTGTGTCATGGCTCTGCGCACGTATGTGCGTATCATGCCAGTCTTGTAGCGTTTGGGGCACGCGCTGCGAGCGTTCATGCAACGGCCGATGTCAGTTGGCTTCCTGTACACTTGCGTGACAAACTTGCCTCCTTGTGCTGTGTCCACGTCAACGTCAAGGAAGTGGAGTCTGCTTCTTTCTTCAATCTCGTACGTGAACTTGAGGACGGAGTTGTCTTCGAATGTTTTCTTCACAACTTCTAGAGCTTCAGCGTCTTCAACCTGTAGGCACACATCGTCAACGTAGCGCTTGTAGAAAGCAGGCTTGTTGTCCAGCTTGGAGAGCACCTTGTCCTCCACCGCACACATGTATGCGTTTGCAAAGAGCACCCCAAGTGGGGACCCCATTGCAACGCCGTCGATCTGACGATACAGGTTCCCTGATGGGCATCTGAATACAATTGTCAAAAAGGAGATTGCAAGCTCCGAGACACATCGTCTTACATAGGCAGCACAACGATGACCCTGTCCCGCCGACTCTCATACCATCTGTCTGCGGGTGGTCCAGCTGAACACTCCCAGCGTGCCCACGGTGAGCGCATCACAAGACAGGACATGGTGGACAACACAAGCATCTTGGACAGGGAGAACAACATGTGGAAGCTGAGGATCCTCGAGGCCGCCTACATCCTAGAACACTGCCCGTCCATGTGTGATCAGCGCGAACACAGGGGACGGATCACGCTGACAGGATAGGAGGTGATGGTGAAGTGTGTGTGTGTGGGGGGGAGGGGACTGTTCAGTGTATAGTGAACGAGACATTTCGTTCATTCTGATACGTTAGTATCTGCTAGATCGGTGGTAGTAGATGGAGATGTTGCATGATGGAAGCAGCACGTTTGAATTTTCGAACTAGATTCGAACAACCGTGCACTGAATTTTGACATAGGTCACATCGCATTTGTTTTAAGGTCAACAAAAATGTATGAAGTAACTTAGATATAATGTAAGTGTTAAATGTGATGAGAGTGTAAAGTGTAAATGCCTGATGACGAAGTGAGTACTTCGAAACGCGTCGCAAAACGTAAATCAATATAATGCATGTATGAACATTGGAGATACTTTACACCAGCTGCCAGAAACTGACCGGAAAGTGATAAGAAAGAAAGAAAAGCTTCAAAAGAAAGTGATAAAAAACAAATACGCGATCGTATTCAACCAAACTTGTCTCAAAGAAGATATATTGCCTGCTTATACACATATATATATATATATATATATATATATATATATATATATATATATATATATATATATATATATATATATATATATATATATATATATATATATATATCAGTGTACTTCGGAAGCAGATTGTTTTCAATACAAATGTTGTTAAATGCTACGGCGTTTTCAGCGTTCGTGATTTTTCGAGAATCGAGATGTTCGTTCGATGTTTCGTATGAGAGCTCGAGTCGATGTTTCATGTCAGGCGAGTACTTCTCCAACGGCTCACTCGACAACTTACTCCAACGTACTCGACCAACGGCTCACTCGACAACTCATGCTTGAGAACACCACCATCATCGACAGATCCAACAATGTCAGAGAACTACATGTACTTGAGGCCATACACATTCGCGACAGTGACCCCACCATAAATCGACAGGTCAATGCTAGAGGCACTCTCATGCTGTTCGAGGGGACGCCGCGGTTAGGTCCAAGGAGGACCTAAGTTAGGCTCCCCAGAGACCAGAGCACCAGGTAGCCTTAATAAGAACCCTGCTTGTTGTGTATATGTATGCTCATTGTTCATCTTTAGGGGAGAGCGGGGAGAGTTGTATCATGTCCAAGTTGTATCAGGGCGAATTGTGCCAAACTTATCCAATGGATGGCGCTCGCGACACGACCAGCCGACGAGGTTTTCCGGGCGCCATCTTTCCCTGTTCTGTCTTGTGGCTGAGTGGACGCGTCTCGAGGTGAGAGCCGATTTTATGTTTTTTTTAATGTCATTCTAAAAAAATAAGTTGCAAGAAAATGTGTGTTCTGGGCATTTAGATGTGCACGAATTTGAAAGATCTCCGTAGCGGTGGTGAGGGTAGGTTCTAAGGCTGCGTGAGTGAAAACGGATTTCTCCAGCTGTCTGCTGTTTTTTTTTAGCACGAGGATGTTTTTTCCAAGATGACGGCTAGGTACATGTTGTATCAGAGCCGGGT